TTGGTCGGACTCAGAAACCTTCGTACAGATAAAAACTGCTGGCTGTGTAACGGAGAGAAATGATGATGAAATCGGAAAGAAAATGAGAGGAAATATATCAGAAAATTCTACAGATGATAGAACAATGGGAAAGAAAAAGACAACATGAAAACTATATTACCATGGCTAACAACGGGTGTGCGAAGATCGGGCCACCCAACTCGAAGTGATGCTCACGCGGTTCCGGGTTGGGGATGGAACTATGGATAACAGGGGAAGGGTTTTAATGCGTGGAAGCCCCACACTATCTTCGCTACATAGCAGAGCCTATTTTAAATAACTTCCACTAGGCGGCACTGAACCCATCATCGGTGTGCCATACTCGGGGCTCCACTCCAGTGTAAAATTTTTAGAGACCCCAATCGTCCAATTTGCTTTTCAAAGACAGCTGAAAAGTGTTTGCCATTGGTATCCTTACAAACTACTGGGCGACAAAAAGTCTTTACTAGGCCTACTTTACAGCTTAAAATATGCTCTGCTACAGAGCCAAGCAGGGGTGTCCGTACGGATTCCTGAAAAAACAAGGTAATAAAAACAATAAGATTAATTTGTTTATAATTGCTATTCCGTATCTGAACGAGCTAGCTAACTGGAAATAAGATTTTAGTAATATAATAATATAATTTTCTTAACCTCGGCAAAGTTGAGGTGAATACAATCGTGTTTAGATAATTTTATGACCAATTACAGTTTTTTTCCAAATGGACCTAAGAATATAAGATTAAATGACGTAAACCTCATTTTTGGTAAGGGATTAGTTCACGGTACAATGCTTTTAAAACAAAACCGAACTTGAAATGGGCAAAGTATAGTTTCGTCTCATTCCGATTCTTTTACGTCCATCTAAAGTGGAACTCATCTGCAGATGGGACAATAGTTTCGTCATTTTTATTATTTAACAATTTTTTGCAGCATGATCCCATGATCTCAATATTATGCATAGCGAGCCATTTATAATTAGGAATTTATTGCCATCAGTAAATTTAAATGTGCGGCACTTCAAAGCTTAAAACATGCTGGGTCATACGCGTACCTTATAATGAAAACCATTTATTTTATCTCGCTTGCAATTAGCAGTTTGCATTAGTAATGGCGGTGACGTTGGTACAGAAATTGTACGATAATTCCGGTCTGCAGATAAAAACGCGACAATTGACGGGATCACTTAAGCGGCAGCTGCTACTGATTTTAGCGAAAAAGGTGCTTTTACAATTCAGATAAAGCCGACGCGATATGCATAATGTGAAAATTTTGCTTTTCCATTCGATGTGTGATAGATAAACATTGTACACGTCAAAAGCATCTGTTTGTACGATACTTTTTGTGACAGTTAGTATTAAGAGATATGATCATTTCGAAAGGAGAGTGAATGAAAAGACTTCGAAGCGAGGGTAGTTCGGAATCCGAAGCTTACATGGCTTAAAGCGAAATCCGTCCTTAGGCTATGAACCTGAGGTCTAATTCATAGCTTCTCTAAACACAAATGACGTTGATGGTCGCAGATGTAAATCCCAATCTAAATGAAAAAATACTTTAGTTTTACCACCGCATTTTACTTCCCGAATCTGTCAGATGCTTTAAATTGATTACCGGAGGGGTGGACGTATAAAAAAATTATCGGGGCGCACCCGGCGAAGATAGCGCGCGGTTATTGATAATTGAATTTGTTATCTATGCAGTGTTGATGAAGTAGGGAAAACTTTTCATAAAAACGAAAAACGGATGCTCACTAAATTGAATCTTTTGCACAATGATGAAGATAACAAAGTATTAATCAAGCCGGTTGGGGTAAGCCACAATGATATCAAATGTCCTAAGAGGCACGTGCCATAACCACTACTTATTGTGTATTTATTATCACCCTCGCGCCTTAAAACTACCCTGATTGTATAGAATTAGGATGACTGCGGGAGTCTAACTAACAGCCAACTTCGACGAGGGTGAACGTTTTCTTATTCTAAATCGGAAATTGAGCTTGTTTGACTCTGGAATTTATGAACTACAAAATTGAACATATATACAATCTCTCTTTGTGGAAAATCTTTTGGCACTCAAATGTTGTAGGCGCTAAATGTATAAGTACATATTTTAAAAACAATACCTATATCCCAAATTTGGTATAAGAACACAATACTAGACACTGCCCTTCATATTCAGGGGGCTCTCAAAGATTCCTTTGGTAGGTCGAATCTAGGCAAACTAATTTGTAGCAATTGTGTCACTGGTTCAGCACTTCTTGTAGTCGAAAAATAAAAATTCTTGTATCTTAGATGTTTATAGATTACCTTGAGTCTGAACAACAGAACAACTCTATAGATCAAACACCGATTGGGTTTTATTCCTTCTTGGATTTAATGCGTTGCAGTCTCTACAGCCTCTTAATGTAAAAAAACTTACCGTTTCGAGCGTGTCTAATAGTTTAATACGGTTTTCAAAAAATTGATATTTTGGTTGTAAGGAAAGCGAACAGGGCAATGATTGAAACTCGACGGTAGAGTGAAGTTGCAATATTTGTAGGCACGAAGTTCAAATTTTACACTGCTGCAAGGTAATATCTTTTCATTTAAGATTGATTAATTAAATTGAATGCATAATAGATTGCGTAATTTAAGGACACGACTTAATTACGCGCGGCCGTTGTTTTATTTAAATCTAGCGTTTGCGAAATTATTCTCCAAATAACGGTAATTACTTATTATTAATTAAAATGAAGCCGTGCGGAATTACGCTTCCGGCTAACGTCAATTATTTAGTTAACGTAAATGATATTAAATTCAGCTGAATGGATTAATTATTCCCTTCTGCTTGCCTCTTTTGTATTTTACTTGAGATTTCAATTTTAACACTCCATTAATACAAATTAATGTAAATTTGTACTAGTTTTAGTGGTTGCGAAACTTACGGTAGCTTGGTAAGTAATAAACCGATACAACGAAATATCGAAGGAACCTCAGTATAGAAGTTTCAGAAATTATATGTTACAATTCTTAAATTGATTAAACATTGTTGTGTAAACGTCATGTAGACATTATTTCCGTCTAAACGTCAATAATAATGACAGAGAACACCCTGTATACGAGAATATTTCAATTTATTAAGTAAATCCGGAGGGGATTATTTGCGAAATGAGCACAGAGTTGATTCGTTTCATTTAAATTTGTTTTTTTCATTTTAAAAATTTTGTAATACGTAAATCTGGTTTAAATGTTATCACTTTTGTAATTTATTCTATTTAACGCACGTATAATCACTGTTAAGATATAACGAAGACGCATGTGCGCATTAGATTTTGAAGTAGTGGTGGTGGTGACCTTTGACGCGTTCCGTCGTTGAGTGGCGAATTATTTGTAACTTTTTAAAGGAGTTTATTTGATGAACAAGAAAACGAGGCGATTATTAGTGCTATGAAAAAAATGTTACAATACGTCCTTGAAAATTTAAAAGTTTCTACCGTCCGTCATTTAATTCTGTGTTCCAAAGCTAAGTGAAGTTTAGAAGCTGTCAGCGTTTGAGTGAGTTTAGTGCGCCCTATATCGAAAACCTTGTACGATCAAATTATTTCCATTATTTAAAGAAAAACTGTAAGTAATTTTAGATTTCTTATTTTAATTCTCGACCGTCTGAGTGCGGGATAATATGCCCAAAAAAGCTTTCTTTCCCTCAGGAATTTTAATTTAGTTTGTTTTTGTGGGTTACGGAATGCATTTTTGTCATTGTCATTGGGTCTTTATTCGAATCCAAAGTGTGACCCAGATCGAGTTTTTCTCAGATTTTTTATTCGTGTCCACGATATATTTCAGGTGTTAATCAAAAAGTTCTTTGGAATTTTCGGAAGTTGGAAGGTCACCGAGTCTCATAAATTGAAAAATTTTAAGTTAATATTGGGATTTTTCTTCTAGACAATGCCGAATGTGTACGAGGAGAGATAAAATTAAAAGTTTCAATTGGGATTTGTTTTGAGCTAGGTGTTTTGTGCGTGTTGTAATGATACCATTTCACACAGCAATATCTGATTACGAAGATGGCATGCGATTTTCAGTAGGGGAATTTTTTGCCACTCAGCTCCCATTCGAAAACCAGACTTTTAATCTGACTCATATTCAATAGCACTGATCCTTGAACTCGTGGCGATCGATTGGCGAAGATTTGACGTGGCTGTCTCTTTTCGTTTCCGAGTTAAACGAGAAACAGACGGACAGACATATCAAACCATCACATAAGGGCAATTTTTTTTCTTCTGAAAAATTCCCCTAAAAAGCATTAATGTTTCTTTGTATGGTTATTTATAATGCAATTACAGTTGTAACATAAATCTATCATAAAAATAGATTGGGCAGCTCACTCAACGTTTTATATACGTTATATACGCTAGTTCAAACTTATGTAAAGAGAAAATTGCGGTGTTGCTTTGGTCATTGTTTATATTAAGAGAAATAGATTGCGCATGCACAACTAAACTTTCTTATTTGTGGATTAATTTTTCTCAAATTTTAAGAGATGGAATGACGGAATTAAATGTACATAAAAAATCGTTTGTACATATGTAATATGAATCTTATAAAACCAAAAAGAAATAACGCGTTAAAAAAAATTGATTGCGCATGCGCAGCGAAGTGCTAACTGTCTTATTTGGAGCCGGATTTTTCGAAATTTGAACAGATGACACTTCTTATAAATGGAAATTAAACGCACATTTAGAAAAATTCATTGCTCATGTGCAGATCAAATTTTCTTTCTTGCGGACAGCTGTTTTTTTACCTAAAGATTTTCGTTGCAAAAGCAATTTCTAGATGAAAAATGTCAGAAAATGGATGTACGGGCGTGTGGGCGAGTTTTTCTGAAATTTGATTGAAAAACGAATTTGGTCGGGGGAACTAATTTTTTTGCTTTTACAGAAATCGCTTTGAGCAGTTTATGTTGTGTCTGTACGGAAAAAATTGAGTTAATAGTATGGTACTTACCTGTTTTAACTTGATACTTCAAGGTAACGGAACAATCATGCACGAGTTGCTGCAATGAGACTCCTTCTATTGGAATTTTCAAATCTAGAAGCTTTTGCATCTCCTCGGGGTGATGAAAATCTAAAATCTTCTCGTTGCGATCATTCGTGGCCCGAATGAAATCCATGAGGACGTCGATCACTCTTTGTAGAAAAAGTTTACTGGTTTCATATGCATCTGGATTATGGGGCAATAGGTCTGAAAATAAAAGTGCACATTAGCAAAGTGTACATCGGCATGTAATAATTGAAGTAAATACAAAGCTCCCAAGGGTGAAGCCGGATTTAGTCCTTCTACAACCCTCCGCGTCGCCATCAGTCAAACACTTCAATCCTAAGCTAATCTCTTCACTATTTCCTAATTTCGAGATTTTCCTTACGTATTTATAAAGGTGGAGGTTTTTTTCCTATCGTCTCCTTAAGAGATTGATAGTGTCGGTCGTAATCTGCCTATACGCGGGGTAATCTCTAAATTTATGATAACGTCGATCCCACCGCCTATCTTTTATGCTTAATCGCACCCTGGAGAATAAGTGTGTATTTATTCTCTATTGTGATAAAAACGTAACATTCTTTAGAAAATCCGCCGTCATAAATTTACGTCTTCGCGTAGTTTAAGGTTAAATGTTTAGTAAATCGTCTCCCGAGACTTTTAATTAAACCTAAACCCACCCTCGGTGGTTAAAATTTTGTTACTCTCTAATAGAAAGAGGGGGGATCAGCGACGTTGCATAGGGGTGACTTATAGTCGCGTTAAGAATTAATTACACTACGCAAACACAAAACGTGTGTTTCTACGTAGATAACCAATCTGAATATTGGGACACGGCTTTGGACGGCGCACCATCAGTGAAAAAATCCATGTTGTATGCAAAGCTTTGGCTGGAACGGACTGCACTGAGACAATTTCGCTTTTTGTAATAAAGCTCCCCGGTCTATATCGCAGCCTGTGCCTTTTTAGGAACAGATGTTACCGCTAGTTCACCCTCGATATTTCCTTTTTCTTGCTACCGGAATGCTTGGAATTGAATGTACGTACGTCCCTCGTTTCGAACAATACGTTATTGAAATACTTGTGTCGTGTTTATCATTCCTCCGATTGAAAATTAGAAATTTTACAATAGGATGACTTCTGTTTTATTATTCAACTGTGAAATCGCATCGAAGGGATTGTTTTCCTCTATTTGTAAACTAGATTCATTCGTCGTTCTTAATCCCATCAAAATTTGCTGTGTAGATAACGTGAAAAGTTGTTTCCCTAAACATAGGAACCGAAAATAATATCTTTGCGCTTATTTGCTATGCGGCGTTGTGTTCAACTTTTCATATATTCCTCGAAGATATAGCCTAGAGTTTCCGCGATCGCCACTGAAATTCACATCGTTGGAATTGTGCTATTTTGTGGGCGAGTAGGAACGATCGTGTATGTACAAAATTCGAATTTGAAGTTTAAGGGGCCAGGATTTCAGTTCAAATTCTTGTATAATGAAAAGGTTCGTTTTCTTAGAATCGTACTCCTTTACTAGGGACAAAGGAAAATGAAGATGGGGTAGTAAAATGACTTCTATCGCATTTCAACTTAAGACGAAGATGGGACGTACAAAATGAAATGAAATAGCGCGAAAAACGTAGGTAACTTTTGTATCTTTATGGAGTTAGTTTTGTTGACCAATAGAAAACTGACATTATCATAGAAAAGTTAAAAGTTTGTAAAAACAATTTGAACACATACCTTCGACATCAACCAGTAATAAAAGAAAGTAGCATAACGACAAATATGCGACCTGCGTTTCATACTTCCGCTTATGAGAAAACAGCCCATCTCATTATCTATGAAAAGGGACCAAGTCTTTTTGAATTTTTGTTGCGCTTTCATCTGGATACCGTCTGTAGTATAATTAAAGAGCTGAGGTCCTATCAAAGATTTTTACTTAAACAGACTAATTATCACTTAGATGAATTCTTAAAAAAAATAAGTCTTTTGTGTGTTTTTTATTATATTGTTCCTTATTTATTTATGTCCAAAAATGTTATATATTTTCATGCACATCTTAAACGTTAATGTGTGTTTTACTTATTAATTTGTAACTATTTGACACATTTTGCGTATGTGTTGTTAATGTGTACCTATATATACATATTTACCGAACGTACTGGCAACAAATAATAAATGAAGTGAAAAAAAAATGAAATGAACAATTAAAACATCCTGTGTAATAATATTTGAAATGTGCACAATTAAGTTGTACCAAAGAGTACAACGAAAAGAGCGAAAATCATACGTATATTAACGTGCCGGTATGCGTTCCCCGTTCTCAGATGGCGTTAGTTTGTCCGGGAACACCTAGCTACGACATGCGTTTCCGTAAATTAAGTTACGAAAAATGTACGTAAGTTGTTCACTCTCATACTCGAGAGTTTAATTTAAATTTTCCACCACCGTTACGTTCCTTAGTTCCGGATAAGCACAAAAGTACCCCGTTTTTATAAAACATATAGTTTCTGTAAAAAATGCGTGTGACGATGCATTTCAAAAATTTTGCAACAGATGAACCGAGATGCTTCAAAAGTTCAAACCACGAGTCCACAAAATTGATTCCTGTCTTAAGTCTTATGCCATTGAATAATTATTATTCAATGCTTATACTTTTAACGCATGGGGAGTGCTTGTTTTGTGCACTTTCACTTTCAAAAGGTGTTCACAAAGGCTCTGGAACTACAGACTTGGTATTGGTGTTATTCGATCAGAAATTAAAAATTATTGAATGTTTATCTGGGAGCCATCCCCAAGCGTGCAGGCGGGCGAAGTAACGTGGTGATTTTTCAGTTTTTTCCTACATCTTTTTCTACAATTTTGGTCCGATTGTTTTCTAATTGGTGTCGTCGGAAAAATCTTGTAAACGCGCACAACTCCTGCGTGACGGAATTTTGTTTTTTTCCTTGGGACGAAATTAACCACGGCGAGATTAACCACCTTTGCTAGGCGCGCTTGAAGGGGTAGTCGACTTCGGCCGCCTAAAACATTCTTAAAGCTCTAATCGCGGTCTCGAGCTATAAGAACTGCCCCCAAAACCTTCATACTATTTTGTGAAGGATTTTTGGCGAAACCTTTCATTAGAACACTCTCATCACTCGAAGCGATTATTTGGCCTTCAACGCCGGGCTCTCCGCGCTACTACAGGAACCCCTTACAGAGCAGATATCAGGAGTAAATTAGCTCTTTGGATATACTCACGTTACTATGTTTGTCTATACATATATATGCGTGTCTACTGTATGCTAAGCAACAATCACATTGCTATACTCTAACAAAATCAAATCCATAATTACCGTACCAGGGGTGGTGAACTGGTGAGGCATCAATATATGAGATTGCAATGCAGTAGATATGGGGCCAATTATTACAGTCCTCGTTTTTGAACAAATTACCTCGCAACGTAGTAAGGCTAACATCCAAAACATTCAAAACTAAAATTAAGACATTTTTATAAAAACAAAGTTTTTACGACATTAACGAATTTTTGAATTGCCAATGGTCTTCATCCGATTTCAATGTAAGTTAGTCATTAAATGTTTTTGTCCCTTGTTTTTTATCCTTTTCAGAATTGACGTTTATAAACAAAAAATTTATACCATGAAGGGTAGAATGTGTGTTTACCCCCCCCCCCCCCCACAAAAGTTTTCCTTAGCACCACTAAAGGCATGCGTATACAAAATGTAAGACCAATTATTGGTTGTCGTATAGTTATGCACGTCTTACTATCAAAAACAGCATCTCAGGTTCAAGGTATAGGCTACCTATTGCCAAAAATTCCAGGACTCCCATTCCCCTAGAAGTAATTCACAACGGTAGAAGTAGGTCCGGACGCACGGAAGGACAAAACGCAAACAATAGCACCTTTTTTTTCTTAAAAAATGCAATAAAAACACTATAGGAAGTACAACCTACAACATGCTTAGGATGACAATGAATCCCCTTGCTCGATGCGCAGGGATGATCGTGGTATCGCTGGTTGGAAATTTCATCAATTTTACAATCCTAATTCTTAATGTTCAATTATTGGCTACCTAATTAATTTAGAAACAAAGTTTATTTATTTTTTGTATTGTTTTATTCAATGCTTAACGAAGCCGAAGGTTTCAGTCAAGGCTTATAGTAAATTCAAAAGGTAAGGTACGGGTTTAAAATTGCAGGAAGATAAATAAAATAAAGTGTAATAAGCAATTTAAATCCTTGAATGACGCCCACTTGTAACTCGAAGCGCGCGTGTGTACTCGCATGTTATGAAGCGAGCCTTGTGTAGAGGATTAATAATCTCTGTCAGGGACTTCGTTCGTAAACCAGGTGTCAAATTCTCGGTATGCCTAAAACATATATACAAAATTTCAACAAAATCCGTCGAGCCGTTTTCTCAGAAAATTGCCAACAAACGTACGATGTACGTACGTACATACAGACGGAAAAAAATTTTATTCTTTAAAAGTTGCTTAAAATGGTCTAAAACGTCGACATTTGATGAAATTTTGAAATGTTCAAAAAACGGCTATCGCAATAGCTACCTAGCACAAGCTAGGAAGCTAAAAATACAAAAATCACTTGTAGGCAACTAACATTACACTGACACGCAAATTCTCATAGGATTTTCGCTCTTCATGTTATATACTCTTTGGTTGTACCAAAGAGTACAATACTCTTTGGTTGTACTGTTATATCATACAATATGTGTAATAAATTTGTTTCGTAGTATTTGAGTAGGTTCAAAGATTTTGTTTAATTCTTAAAGCTTCAAATTATGTAAATATTTTCAAGAAAATTTGTATACTCAATTACAAACATTTATTTTGCATTTAAGTACGATACGTTATTTACATATTCATGAAATGCTGCGTATTTTATAATACACGGACATACACCAGAAAGTCCTATTTGGTTTTCATTTTCATACCAGGCGTTGGGAACTTCATCCGATTATCATAATGAGCTCCATTACAATTGGAGATGGAGATTGAACAATTTAAACCACTTTTTCTGTACATGTTACACTGCACTCTGTTTTGCAAAAGGAAAATTCATTTGGGACACGTTTAGCACAGTACTAATGTTAATATTTTAAATTTATTAAAATTAGGAAATCGTCGGATCCATAAAACAACTCGCTCTGTCTAAACTATAGGCATCCTGTTTCCATTACGTTTAGTAGAACCCCTTCACATTGTTAGGGGCCGTTTGTATCACGATCATTCAACATCAGTTCAATAATCAGTTGACTGACCGAATAAAGAAATTTGATTGATTAAGATTCAAAAATTATTTATTCAATTTTCTTAGTGATGTCGGTTAAGTGAACGTTGTGAATTATCAAAAAACCGTCGAATGTGTTTCAGTGTCTCCAATAACGAATTTACAGATTGATAAAACCTAAAAGAGCTGCATGACGTGGAGAAAACGAAGTGAAACTGATGATGAATGCGAAATATCAATATTATCATTTGAGAAGTACAGCCATTGCTATCAGAAACGGACTAGCCGAATATTGAGGCGTTAAATATGATCGTTTGTATGTCTAATATTTTATTATTATATTCACATTTATGATTGAGAGATAATTAAAAACGTAGATTCTGTGTTAACAAAACAAATGTATAATAAAACAAATATTACAACATGTTTGTTATGCATTTTCAAAGAATAAATGTTTGTTATTGTTTCCTAGGGTATAGTGTAGTGTTCCTTGTGGATAATCCGCCATCGTTTGCTTTCAATTCTAAGATATAGTACTGCTGTTGAAGGTTAGATATACTGTTTTGTATTCTGTAATAAATTGAAACCGAGCTTTCTTGTCAAACAAAACTGTCGTCTCATTCCTTGGGAAGAGTGCTTTAATGTTATCTTAAAGTTCCTATTATACTTTCGGCGCCACATGTTTTTTTAGTTTATCTCCTTAATCAGAAAACGTACAGAGAAATTTGGAATCTTATTTTCTTACTACCAAACAGAGGTCCCGAAACTGAGGTGTCTTGCAATTTTCCGATTAGATATACCTATTTACCTATTATGTAATAGCCCTTCAAAACTTCAAAATTGCAATTTAAAGTTTTAGAGGTAACTAATCGTATCACTTCAGATTACGTCCTTAAGGTGATTGTAAACTACAATCGCACATCTGATTTGAGTTTACTTATCCATAATATTTCATTATCAACTGGGGATAGGTTGCTGGGTATTAAGCTCTATTGGATAACAAAAAAATATTGTATAGAAATCTTTGGGGAGATAGAGGACTTTTTTAATATCGACTTTCTGCTTATCTATCTCTGACGCTGTTCGTCAAAGGTATTTTATCTAACAAGATCTGTTAGATTTAGAATCTACTGTCTGGGCTTGATAGTTAGTTACATCACTGAGTGCGACAATATCCGTAGTACAAATAATTTTGTTTTATCGTCCATTACACCGAAAGAGATAAATCTTCCAAACACGAGGGACAGCGATCAATAAGAACAATATTTTTGGTGGAGGTAAATGTAATAAGCCATAAGTAACGTACAATTGAGATTAACATACAAAAAATTCGAATCACCACAGTCTTGCAGAATCTTGCCTTACTGCATTAGTCTAAACGGTAAAATATCGCAATTGCAAGCACTTCCACCATTGTTGACCGCGCACTGTTGCCTGCACCAAATCTCCCAATCCAACCTTACGTGTAATTTGGGACGGTTGATTTTTGTATGTATTGGCATTGTGCGTGTTTTCATCTTTCCTTGCGTATTACAAGACCGGCATCCAGAAACTCGGTAATCGTACTTTAAGCAAAAACCATTGCAGATTTCGGCATAATTGATCTTCTCCTGTTCATTGGGAGTACTAGTAGGGCAGTCACATAGCGGATGTCCCAGGTCATACCGGCACAATGTCGGGCACATTTCGTGCCTAGTTATGTTGGACGTGGTGAAATTCCGTTCATCCTCTGTAATGATCGGTGATAAATTTTCCGGTATGAGATCTGTGCAAGTTCCTCCGCACGGACGGCCGCCTAATCCGGACGAGCATAGTTCGGTGCAAATTTGAATTTCTTGGTTTCTGGCATACGTTGGTTTCGTATCGTACGTTTGTTTGTCGAAATAAGTTATTCGCCCATCGACGATCACTAATAATGCAAAGAAAGCGACTTTTACGAACATACTGCAATTGAATTAGTGAGAAACTTTGATTAATATTGATTAATCTTACTTGGGTGTGTTCGCTTTTCGCACTTGTGAAAAGTGGTTTGTACTTGGAAGCTAGACGATTGAGTTAATAAGTGCAACTAACCAATTTTAATTCAGTTCTGCCCTTTTTATCATTCTCATACGATAAACGTGCGTAAATTTCATCGTGAACAAATGGTGATAACACTAGATCTATTTAATCAGAATTTAAGCGGCACTCAACAAACGAAATGAGGGGTTTTGGGCTATCTATCACTTTAGATGAGTATGATAGACCTTGCACATTTGCTTTTTATTGCGCTGTAAATTGCTCCACACTTTTTGAAGTACCTATGTCTGTCTCTATGACGAGGTTACTACTTAGATCAGCTACATAATATTATCTTATGGAATAGAGTGGTAAACACTATAAGTCCTTGTACTTAATAAAAAAAAACAACAATAAGTATCTAGATACCTCAATTCTAATACGTTTAGTTTGAAGTTCAAAATGATAAGTATGGTAAATTACACTACGCAATAAGTAGTGTGGGAGGACGTAAATAGTGAACATAGCAACATAATGATACAAAGAAAAGTGAATTTTTGAGATCATGAAGAGATGGAACAGTACATCCAACGAATCATGTTGATAGCTATGATAGTTTTATACTAAATTACAGAAAAATTAAATGTTTCGCCGATAAGTATATCTATATAATTTTGTAATATAGAAATTCCTATTCCCACCGGCCAAGGGGTCCCTGTCCGGAAACTTCAAAAGTTGCACAGCCCGGTCAAACCGTTTGAAATAATCCGTTAGCCGCCGTGTCACGTGCTATTTGAAATCCCACTTCTGAGGCAACTTTTAAATACTAAACTTTTGTTTTAAATCCATTTATTTTACTTTATAAATTCAGTCAAAAGCCTAATTTATTGACAAATATGTAAAGATTAACAACCAATGATAACGATGCGTCATCATAACTACTTAAAATTCAAATTTAACCATTTAACTAGTAAAAAAAACCTACAATTACCATGTCTCCAAACAAAATGTGCCAGATTGTTACAAGGTGACGTATTAAATTGACCCAAGTGTTTGTTAGTACTTCCAGAAAAGTGTGGAATTTTACAATGAAGAGCACTTTTACCTTGCTGTAGCTAAATAATAAGCACTACTCGTTTGTAAAAAAAAGTGTTTTAGACATTAAAAATATACGCTCATAATTGAAAATGTATAATAATATCGTAGTAATCGGCTTAATTTTAGCATAGAAATGTCTCAAATTGAATATAAACTCAATTACTCTTTCTGCAGGCGTTGAATTAAGACCCCATATTGCCACCTACGTACGACAGTGTTAAAACCCACTCGCAGTCGCGCAGAATATGTTAAATTAATTTTGGCTTATCATTCAACCCCAGTGTGTATATACTTATTTGTGAATGCATACATACGCAAACATCCCCTATCCGGCATATTTTCAGTTTTAGATTATACACCTAAATCAAAACGACCCCTCCTATTTTAATCCGTCCCCGAAGTCCACTATTGTTTGAACCTCTTTAGGGGTGAATACATGATTAATTATACTGTTTAAACATCAATTAAAGGATAAAGTGCGGTTACGTCGCACCTGTGTCCACGTTCTAATTAACGATGGATATGTTTTTTTTAGGTAAAGTGTGCGCAGGAGAGAAGGTCTTTTGTACTTTTTCTTGTATTTAACTTGGCAGCTTTGTGATAACGCGCGTTTTCATAATAAAAGATTTTGCTAAGCGGAAGTAATGCCTTTGCAATCTCTTAATGAGTTTGGAAAATTCATTTCTTAGGATGCGTCCGCATTGTTCTTGATTTCTGCTTTTGCGTTTTATAATTATTCACACTCCTCAGAATCAATATAGGTATATGATATAATTGTGCTGGTATCCACACTATTGTGTATCAAGTAGTCAACCATACAATAATTGTTTGATATGATGCGTTGTTGAATGTTTAAAACCATCTCCAGTTTTATTTCAGAAGGTGTCAGATTAATTTGAGAAGATTTCAATTGTGAAACCGCAAAAACTAATTTTTTCGGATAATAAATTGTAAAAATCTAAAATGTGATCTGAATGATTCGTGGTTACCACTCGATGACTTTAAATGACGCAAATGATTGCCTTAACCGCCAAATACTGGAAAAACGGATTCAGGTCAGAGTTATTTTGAGTAAAATATGATCAAATACTCAATTTGGATTCCGGAAAGGATCATCTACTGAGGATGCAATGTGCGCTCTAATGAACGACGTACATAAATCGTTCGATGAAGATAATTACGCACTTGGTATTAAACAGAACATATAAGATGAAGTGGGAAGATAAAAAATGTTCCACTAGAAGAAATCGTAATGCACAAAAATTCTTCCGACTCCAGACACAAAATTCACAGAGCTTTTATTCTCTTAAATTATGGACAAACAACTTAACTATTCACGATGGAACACCTAAAGAAGGTGTTTGTATAAGATGTGGGATGAGAGCGTATCTGGTCGTGGAGGAAACAAAATGGCATGTTGTTTGAAATTATGACTCCCTGGGATAGGCAACAGATGATACGTTTGTGTGATAAAAAACCGTTTTTTTGTAGCATTGAATAAAAATTAATTTTTTATTCAAACATCAGATTTTAAAGAGCTTCATATATTAATAAAATGAGAGACTGGCAACCATTTTTTGATCTCTCAAACAGTTTACTTGCAAGTTAGGCAAAGTAACCCAGGAATTTTAACTCAGATTTTGAAAAAGATTTTTTCAAAGTAGACTGTAACAAGAAAACTAGACGAAGCCTCTCTATTCCTTCATCAAATTCACCAAATGGAGAAGCTCAAAAACCAATTTCCGACATAAAGTAACCACCTGTAAACACTTTCAAAATTGGCACCAAACTACATGGATTTATTCATTTTAAATCCTAAAAAAATGTTTTTCTTAGTAGCAAACAATGTTAAGTCTTTCAAAACCAAAAATAGTGTTAAAAACTATGTTGAATTTTTCTATTTTATTCGCATATTTTAGTCAAATAATAGTTACCAGGAACTGAGCAATTCGTGCGAGCACAGTTTCATAATTAAATTAAACTTGAAAATAACTCACTAAAAATGTTTTGAAGAATAACGTTTTTGGAATACATGCTGATTCAAATTCGAGGGCCACCATGGGAATCTCGGAAACTGTCAGAGATAGGTTAAGGTAGGTAGTTTAAATTTGGCAGGGTTGCATATTTTGATGTTTAACAAAATGCCGTTTTGAATCTGAAAAAATTCCCACTACTTTCGGAGATATCCTGAAAAAAAAAAACGAAATTTTGCAAAATCGTTTTTATTTTGTTAAATAATATTTATTGTCACCAACAGATTAACCAATAAGGGACAATGTTAAGTTGCAATGTACATTCACTAGAGGATAGAAAGAAATATAACATGCTTTAAACAAAATATGATATCAACCAAATAACAAAGATAATTGCAGTAGATTATTCGATAATAATAATAACTAAATGAACATAAGTAAACAGAAGTCTTAAAAATTGAATACTTTCATTGATGAATAAGATGAATTGTAAAATATTTAATACTAGTGTTAAAAAGGTCAACAGAGTTACAAATACTATTATAATAATAACACAACTTATTAATTTGAGGAGTTGAACATAATATTCGTTCGATATTTTGTCAACTTAAACACAGTCCCGTGTCTGAAGTTGAAGGGAGGCACAGAAAATCTTAGTACAGCTAACAGCGATGAGCAGTCGATATTATTATGTACTAAGTTGTATAGGAAAGACATACTAATATGTTTTTTACCGAAGTTTCTTATGGCCACTTTTTCCCTCTACAAGATGCTAGTTTAAATTTTAAGTCTGACGTTTCGTCGCCGGTTAACCATCATCATCTTTGTTTTTTTCATATGGAGGTCATTTTAACTGTTTGTGTCATTAGTAGGTAAGTAAACGTGGAGGTTTATAGGGCTCGGGAGACTCAAGAACAGGCAGATCCTTGTTCCATCAAATTGAGCATAACACTCACGAAATCAAACCACGGCTATCCCTACGTTAGGAGGGTGTCTGGTGGTAGTACAACTTTGACCATCGTTCTGCAACTCTTCTACTCTTCCTGGCAAAAAAAACTCTTGATGAAGTAAATGGTGTTCCAATTGTACACTATCATCCGCTGAAGAACTACTGGCGGTGCGCGAATTGGAGAATTCCATCAATATGTTGTATAGTTAATTTTTGTTTTCAGTGTTAGTGCTGAAGTTTTGCGTGACCTTTCAGTACTTTTCATTGGGCGATTTGGTGGTTTATCTAAATAATGCTCAGACGGACGCTTAAGTTACCTTCCTATGACTACGAATTAAGGTATGTTTCAGGATTTAAAATGCCGATCTGCCAAGTTATGCTACCGCAGAAGATGAAGGTACCAGAATTCGGAAGAAGTTATGACGCCGAACAACACAGAAGAGAAAACCATTAGTGCCAAAGACATCGCTAATGAAACTAAAAGAAATCCAGTATTGTCTAGGGTCTTACAATAATGGACATGGAAAGGATGACTAATCTACATTTTCGGACGAGTTTACACCCTATCTACAAGAACAGCATGAAATAAGTTGTTATCAAGATAACTTTATTTTACGCTAAGTCAAAATGCATTTTTCTAAAGGTATCTACCTCATTTTTAAAAATTCTGACTATTTCACGTAAATTAATGGATCTCTGGTTATAACTTATATATCATTTATAATACACACTTTTGAAATGAATTGTTGCAATTAATGTGCAGCACGGAGTTGGCGTCGCAAGTCGATTTTAGATGTAAATGAAAATGGTTTTTTTCTGAAAATTATCTAAAGTTGTAGAACTATTATGGGTCTACCTAGAATCATAGTATAAAAATTAAATTTTGGCAATAGCTTATTTTGGACTCTTTTCTACGACCTTGATTGCTGAGGCCAAACACGGAAACTTTTATTAAAACCTATTTAGAACTGTACCACTATTCTGGGCACATCAAACATTACTATTTTTTTTAGAAATGAGGTGCTGATTAGCAATTTTTGTAATATCATGGCCTCTAGAATAGTGCGCAAATTACATCCTTTAAGTGGATGATAGCTGCGAGCAAGGATAATGGGTAAGCAAAGGTAACAAAGGTATAGGTATCTGTCCCTTTTTGTTTTTTTGTATAAAAATTGTGGTTCGTTTTCAAATGCTCCTATGGGTACGTACTATACTGTATTACAAATTAGGTTAGTTATGTTATGACTAATCGCATAACAAAGTCAATATGTGATATTTGGGACAGAATGTCTTCCACTAATTATTATTGATTAGGAACTATTAGACATATTGTTCATCTGAGAAGATGAGTGTTTTAGTATATGAGTACATTCTAAATGATGGATGACATACAAATACTTTGGGTTAAACTACGAGTATATAAATCAATATCATTGTACAAAAGGTTGATCCCGTGTCCCTTTTCCCATGTAATCATAATATAAATCGTCGAATTGTCATTATTGAGTAATTGAATGACTTTGAATGTTCAAATCTCTATCCATAAATGTTTCAAATCAGGTAGCCAGGTAGAAATCGTTAAATGTGACAGGAAGACCTATACATCTTGAACATTATCGAAACGTTAATAATGGGCAAGGTAGATATAATTGGTTTACTGTTTGGGAATTGTTTACAGCGGAATGACAAAATGGCCGTCAACAAAACATTATTTTCGAAAATTGATCCATTCTAGGGATGCAAAGAGCGCATGCCCAAGTAATTAACATACGGCCCAATTTCTAATTTGTAGATTTTCAGAAATATTTCATTCTTTTAAGTTAAATAGTAGAAGCCTTTGTGAGCGCATTTCAGGAATCCATTGTATTAAACGCCCGAACGCCAAACAATCAACTAACTCCCGAGAGCTTTATTTTATTCATGAAAAACGCACAAGTGCCTTAAAATGGCATATGTATAAAATAACTTACCTGTATATTTGAGATTAGCAATAGATGCACTAAGTTTGTAGTTGGATGTATTTACAGCCATGGCGGGATGCTGGAGCTTCTGGAAGCTGTTCGCGGTCTAAGTTTTCACGAAAATCTCGATGTAAAGGTCACAAATAGGTGACCCAATTTAATATTTGCGCGCGCAAAGTGACGTCAAACCGTAGGAGGCTGATACGAGGGAGGAGCTTTTCCAATTTTCCGGCTGGAAATAAGGGTTGATGTGTTTAAAGTTGTCGGAAAAGAAGGAACAGCTTTCCGGAGTAAAAATTGAAAAATTGTCGAGACGTCGGCGTCGACCAGCAGACTATGGGAATTTTAAATTTGTAGAGGCGACGAGATTAAAACTGTACAATTACTTTCCGATTCATCTTCGATAAATTTTCCTGCGTATGGGATTTTCCATGAACATAAAATTGCTGTTAAATTGGTGTATTGAAAAAGCATAGGTATAATTCATCTCATTACATGTTTACATAAGCCACTTTTTGTGATAAAAGCATGCAACAGAGCACGGTTAAACCTTGATTTTTTAACTAAACAGTAAGTAAAAACGTTAAAATTTGCACTCATTACAACGCCGGTAGTTTATGAAAGTATAATTTTCTGCAATGTTTTGTTATCAAGTGCGTTTGTTAAGTGCACTTATTTCCGATTTCACCTAAAAGGTTTGTTTTAAAAAGTGCAGTTTAACCATTTTTTTACTGGAAGTATCTAGATATAATAGTCATACCTATGTAGAAAGTGATTTTTTGACAATGACGAAACCAGATTACACCAATTCAAACGAATGACAAAATGCTTTCATTACGTGTTACATAACTTTTTTTTGGTGTTTTTGTGGTTTTGTTTATCAGAAAAGACTAACTTGTAAAGGTGGGGATTTTGAATATCAGTCGTGACGTCTAGGAGCTGGGCAAATTACAATGAAGGTTCCTTTTTTTAGTTCTTTCTTATACACTAAATGAAAGCTGTTACCTAACATTGTCATTGTAATTATGGAATAAAGGTAAAGGTGTGGACACTTGGGCAGTTTTGGGCATGGCTTTATTGCTGTTTTGTGCAAAGACACAGACAACATTATACTATGTCTGTGGTAACTGGTAATAGGTACATTTTTCTGAAACTACTTCTAAAACAACTACTTTCGTCTCTAAAAAAGTAATTTTCCTCATTCCAGTGAGGAAAGTAAAAAACAATTGCTACATTAATCTTAATGATGAAATTTAAAATTAAAAATAGGTAATTTTTCAATGTTGATTGTAGTTTCTGAAAAAATTATGTGTAAAGCTGTAGTATAGAAATAATGAAATAACTAATAGGTATATCTGATTACTTTCCCTGCACTATATCACTTTACCGGTCGCATCTGTCACTTTTCCGGCCGCATTTATCAGATTCGTAATGTATAATGTCATCACTGACAGATTGACATTAATCAAAAGTTCTATATCAAAATTTTGAAATTTTATATTAAAAAGGACGAATTCGTGTAAAATTTAATACAAAACTCGTCTGGTTCTTTCTGGCACTAAATGAAAGCTGTTAACATTTTCTTCATTTTTCTACGTTCCAAAATCCAAAAATGACCACCGATTTGTTATTGCACTGTTCCTTACATATTTCCGGTACATTTAATCTTTTCGATAAACATACTGTTTAGCAACATAATTTACCCGAATTCGTCATGCCTACTTTCTGTTAGGAAATTATCCCGCTGGACCTAGTACCCCAACTATTGTGAATCAATTTAAGAATGGTATCCGATTTAGGAGTTATTTAGGAGCTTTTCATATCCCATTTTAGAGCTCGCTTAAATAGGAAATTTTAGTTTCCATGACAGAGACAGAGCCTGTCACTTTACTGGTTGCACCTGTCACTTTACCGGCCGCACCGTCACTTTATCGGCCGCACCTGTGACATTGCTAAACGTCTATAATGACTCCTGTCATCATTAACAGATTGACATTAATCAAAAGTTCTATATAAAAATTGAAATGTTATACTCAAATACGATTTGGGGTCAAATTTAATACAAAACTCTGACTCGGGCTCGGAAATTAAAGTACTCGTCCCCAGGGGAGTCGTACTTCAATATTTCCTCGCCAGTAATGTGTCATTTTCCGGACTTTTATGTAAATAACTATTTCCTACGACTTTCATTGAAAATGACATATGTCGTACAATTATGTTTACTTGAAAATTGACAATTTCGCTCACTTATGGCAAAATGTAACGGAAAACAAAACGCACCCGTGTGATTTGCTTTCTCATAAGATTTACCATGTAGTAGAAAGCAAATCGCATGTTACGTTTTGCTTTCGTAGTAGTCTAATCTTCTTGTAACATCAACGTAGTAGGCGTACGTCAAACTCTAAAATTGCGATTAGTTTATTCTTGAGTTTATTCCCTTGTGCTACACATTTAATTCCTTACTTATTTTTAATGGCGAAAAGTGATTCTTCCATGGATGTAGAGTGTACTCCACCCAACATCAGAGAAGAGGCAAAATCCACTACACTCGAATTACTACCAACTAAATTACGGCTGAGGTATAAAAAGTAGCGTACGTCTAATAATATTAGTAAATTTCTTGCAGAAGCTCCAAACCACAAGTACCTCTTTAGTCTTTGCTAAAGTAATTATAACAATAGTTCGTTAAAGAGAAATTGAATCTATTTCGTATTTTTAGATAGTTTTAGTAGTTGGTTCGAAATAAAATAACTTTTGTTTCATTATGTAAGTATTTTGGTTGTATGGAGAGTCGTAGGAAAAATAGTGTACATGACTCGTTTGAAAGCCACTTTTCACACTCGTGTGATTGCCACACTCGGCTTCGCCTCGTATGGCAAACTTCACATCTCGTGTGAAAAGTATCGCTTTCAACACTCGTTACGTAATATACTATTTCTAATCATCCTCGACTAAAAAATTCTTTGTTTTAACATAGTCATGACTCATGAGTCATGACACACTAGATAAAATTTAACTTTAAATTTACAATTAAAGCATCGAAAGTTCGCATATGAGGTATTATTGTATTGAGAATGTCACGTTCTAACGAAATATATAATAGTATACAGAGTCTCATTTAAAATTCAAAAGTTGTTATCACTCCCTGTGAAACAACGTCATAAAAAACAATCGAATATGCCTTTTAATGCATATTTTCCACCCCTGCACTGATGCCAAATTGCATTCAATTCGCACAAAAACTATAGACGCTGCAGGTTGCGGGTTTTTTAAATTACACTATCGCCAGGGTAACATTATTGTTCAGGGACACATGCAATGATCCATGACCTCACATAAATTCTATGTAGCCCTATGTTGGTGTTGTTATATTGATTTCCCGAGCAACAAGTATGCTGACTTTACCCGTATTTATTTTCTGTCTTCAGCCTGATTTTGGACTTTAATGGGGATCTTAAAATCACCCTCTTGTACTTTGTAGATTTAGTTTTGACCACAGACAAACTCTTCCAAGAATTTCATTTTAACAGCCGCCTATGTCAGTTCGTATATCTCATATCTTCACGCACAAAAAGCGATGGGTACATCCGTATAACCCCAATGAGCAAGTATTTGTCTTTAATATGGAACTCAGCAACAATCGGCCCTTGTGTGTGTGTGTAATAAATAGTATTGGTACTTACCCGACATGAAATGAAGAAGCAGTGCACATATGGGATATAAACTGGGACTATACACAATATCTGGGCAAGCGTATCCGAGAACAGACACTACACGATCCGCTATACTACGTCCACGATGTGTAAGATAGTAAGCCTGGCAGTGAGCCGGTTCCACAAACGGAGGTAAGCTAACCGATTTGTCGGGAATTTCCGTACTACCAAACACTTGCGTAACCATGTCCCAGTAAAATCCATCCGAATCACTTGATTTACTGTTGTGATGCTGTCCACATAACATTGGCCATAACTGTTTCCTAATTAAATTATCTACAGGCCAGCCGTTATTACGAAGTATGTTCTTAACATCTTGTTTACGTCCCTGCAGCACGAGCGTTTGTACGTCCAAAAAAGTTTTGAGCGGCTTATTAGTCGGACTCGGAGGTAAAATTGTTATTGCACTGGCGTCCACGTGAGAAGGAAATCCATTTACGGTGCCTTCTTCTTCTTCTAAAACCGAGAGCATAGTGGGCATCTCTAAACCTACTGCCCAATAAGCGCAGTAGATTACGTGAGGTCCTGCACCATTTTTTGATCTAGAAAATAAAGTGCACTCTGCAATAGGATTTGACAGACTTAAAAGAGATTAGAAGCGTGACAAGAGAAACGGCAGAACCAATGACAATAAAATTGATTTTAATCAGATAATGAGCTGCCCAGTTTCAAAACACGGTACGTGCTCTGCCTTTTAATTCAAAGCACACTGCAGACTCGGCAACACCCCCGCGGAACGATTAAATGTATACCTACATTTCTGTTTGCCCTGGAAGATTTAATGGTAGACTATTCTTAACCCTTGCAACACAGACATTAGGGAAATGGACGATCGATACACCCGCTGTCAGCGCCAATTGTTTTTACGCGATTACTCAACCCTCTCGCGAACTATACCCACGTATTATTATTATTATTATTATAGTAGGTAGGTATATAAGAGTTTAATCCTAAGTGGATGAATATTTGCTGTATAAATGTCACATACTACAGCGGTAGAATGTGTGTTAAAACCCGAATAAACTTCGTAAATTATTAAACAAATAGTACAGGAAGTGTCTAGAGTAACTACCCAAGTTTTTTTTTTTATTTTATCGAATTGTTGCCGATTTATCACTTCCCGATACTCCCGCTCCGTACAGTATTAAACCACTCCTTTACAATCGAGAAATCCCATAGGATAACGTGACCGACATTTCACTAACACGTGGTATCTAATCACGCGGTCTTTTAAAACGAGAACGCAAGTGCATAACAAAGTGGTATCAACCAAAAATACTTCTATGGTATTAACATTACCCAGAAAAATTTATTGTATGTAGGCAACCGTATATACACGAGTGTACCACGTTGGTGAACGGCACAGGAGGAAATGATTATCTTTTCTTGAAAAAAATTAGTTGCTGTCGAGTGACCTTTGGAATTTTTGTTTACACGAAAAATCGTACAAAGGCGACTCGACATCAACTCATTTTTGATCGCCCGTTACTTTTGGGAAAGGCTTACCAAATCTCCCTTTCCTGGGGGTATTCCATACGAGAAATATCTCACCGCAGTATGGGTCCCCACTTGAGCCCCACCGTTTACCCCAACTACAAGTTGATCAGGTGAAATAACTCAGGTTTCATACCTACGTTAAAATACTGTCATGAACACAAGTCTTCTCCGTGGATTTCCCACAGCAATACGTTTTATTACGCCGATTTCTTTAAGGTTGTGAAAGACCCCCCGAATATCAAACCACCTCTTAACTGTGATCTTTCAATAAACTAGTAGACTCAGGATAAGTTAATGTTTTTCAAGCAGCAGTTAAATCATTGCTTAAAGTGATGGAATCATGTTTCATGAGACGTATAGCTCCATGAATATCACCATCTGAAAGATGGACTTTCACTTTCTACTTTAGTCTAGGCGATAGAGACTGTACAATTGGCAAACTGGACATTTTGAGGTGGAAAAGAAAAAAAATGGTGGAATATGTTCAGTTAGGTGTCAAAAACAACATATTAAAAATCCCACCCCCCAGACACTGTGCTAAAGGCTCCAGCCACCATCCCCCAAAAACCGTGTTTTCGCTCTTTTTGGCTGATATCTCGCGATCTATGAGGTCTATATGAAATATTTTTTTAGCTGAAAATATTTCTCGGGAAATTTCATACAAGGTAGATACTCAGAAGTTAGCCTAGGTGTACCTCTTAGCCTAGGAAATTCATAAAAGCGGCGAAAATCATCAATTTTCGTGGCTTTTTGCAAATATATCGCGACCTTTAGGGCTAGATGAAATATTTTTTGCTGAAAATGCTCCTCGTGAAATTTTTTACAAGATAGATACTCAGAAGTTAGCCTATAGGTGTACCTCTTAGCCTAGAAAATTCATAAAAGGAGGCGAAAATCATCATTTTCGTGTTTTTTTTTAGGTTTTTTGCAAAAATATCGCGACCGTCAGGGCTAGATGAAATATGTTTAGCTGAAAATGTTCTTCGTGCAATTTCATACGAGATAGGTAACTGAAGAGTTGGCGTAAAGTCACCTTTCACCTTCAACTTTCATGTGTGAGGAAATATTCATTGTAAAACAAAGTATTTCTATGTACCATTTATTCACGTAAAAACAGTATTTTCATACTAAAATATTCACACATTCATTTATACCTCAACGTAATCATTATCCTTATACTTATCCAAATCAATTCGTACTTTTTCGATCAGACTTCTCAATCAAAAGTTATAGACTAGAAACCAATTTGAAAAAAAATTCAAAGGGCTGTAACTTTTGAACTAGTAGCCCAATCTTGGAACTGTTTAAAATTATGGATTCTACAGGCCACATTCTATAAGAAAATTTTTTTCCGGGTCGATCTGAGACAATTTTTTTTTCGGGGCTCAAAAAAAGGCAGTGTATAACCTTCCTTTTTACCAAAAATTGACTACACCAAAATTTCTCGGGAAAACACTTTTTCTTATTAATTTGGGTGCGTAGAATCCAAATCAATTCGTACTTTTTCGATCAGACTACTCAATCAAAAGTTATAGACTATCTACCTTGTAAGAAATTTCACGAGGAGCATTTTCAGCTAAAAATATTTCATCTAGCCCTAAAGGTCGCGATATATTTGCAAAAAGCCAGGAAAATTGATGATTTTCGCCTCTTTTATGAATTTCCTAGGCTAAGAGGTACACCTAGGCTAACTTCTGAGTATCTACCTTGTATAACATTTCCCGAGAAATATTTTCAGCTAAAAATATTTCATATAGACCTCATTTATCGCGAGATATCAGCCAAAAAGAGCGAAAACACGGTTTTTGGGGGATGGTGGGGTGGCTGGAGCCTTTAGCACAGTGTCTGGGGGGTGGGATTTTTAATATGTTGTTTCTGACACCTAACTGAACATATTCCACCATTTTTTTCTTTTCCACCTCAAAATGTCCAGTTAGATGTCTTTATCGCCTAGATTACTTGCATTTGTTTCACTATTTTGTTGAGAATGCTGGACTGTAGGTGATATGGATCTTTACGCTAACCAATCCATAATCCTTCACATACCTACTTGATGGAATCGGCAACTGTGAATATGGGAAAAGAAACATTTCTCTCCAAAATGGGTCATTTGAAGACTTGACCAGGATGATCAACACTAAATTCCCATGTATCTACCTATAATACAATCATAAATCCAAGCGTCTTAAAACCCATGGCAACCATTCTCAATAATCGTTGCCATGGATTTTAAGCTATGTTTAAATTTGTCGGTGCAAACGGCCATTAGCCTTATAAAATAATGAATCAAGCAAGCCAATACTTTGAAAAAAAAGTTGACGTTTAGTTTGACAACAGCTATGCATCATTTTTTAAGTAAAGCCTTTCCTACCATTACGGGGAATGTAGCCAGTACTTTGGCGATTCATTTCATTGATAGAAGACTACCCCCTTCTCAAGGAAAATGGAAATCTTTTAAGACATTTTTATGGAATAAACAAAAAAATAGAATTTGTGGTCAAACACCTACAAGTTGGTGTGAGTTCCTTACCGGCCATTTTTTCCGTAGCTTTTATGTGAAATTGCAGGGAAAGTAATAATATTTTACGTATTATTTTTAACTGTTATCCTGGGATTTACTTTACTTATTGTAATTAAAACGAAGACAATTATGAAATTGCATTGCGAATCGGAATCATACCCGTGCAAAAACTATATTAGCAATTCAACTAATCAGAGATCGGTTCCAGATTTAAACTTAATTAAAATGTAAAATGCTTTGTAAATAGAATAGATGCATTTTTTGCATCAAAATAAACCCACCAATAGCCTTGTTCTACAGTCAAGTAGTGAAAATGACAACCTAGTCGTATAAGACTAAGTAGGTAAAAATTAGGTCATCCAAATACACAACATACATTTCATTACACCAGTATTAGTCCCTAGAAAATATCACTTCGTGCCATAAAGAAACCCTGTGAAGTCTTTGGCCCAATCCTGTATGTATATGTTACATGCTCAATATACATAACTCCTCTATATTTATAACCACACCTTTACTTTAATATTAAACAAACTTGTAACAAATATAGCAAACGAGCTCCTGGGTCACTGAACATTTAAATCAGTTCTTCCTTGGGTGACTTGATGATAAAAAAATACTGAAAACAGAATTGGAAAATTCAAAACTGTTCCGGAGTTATCTTTTACACAAACAGAAAGTCCAAAATCGCGAACTCGCTCGTTAATAATAAGGTATCGTACACAAAAAAAAGATAACATAATATAATAATAGATACAGATGCAACCAGAATATATTTGTCAAGATCACAACAATCCTATTTAAAATATTTCTAATGCGATCTTCAATATTCATAAGAAGCACTTATAGGAGAATTCTGCACAATACAGAAGGCACAAATAATTCTAATCACTAAATACTACATAAATATTTACATATACTGATATACACTTACGAAATTGTTGTCCATATGGGCAAATATTACAAAACTAAGTACGTGATTTTCAGCTATTAATATTGACACCATTGTTAATAGACAGCCACTAATAAGAACAAAAATGACAACACTAAATGGACAAAACAGTTAAGTACAGTAATAATAGGGAAAACTGGTTTGTCTAAAAATGCAAGTACGCTTTATAAAACATCATCTCGCATAAGTTCAAAGTGGACGGACCCTTTCCTTTTGTGAGGCGAACCTCCGACATAAACAAGATTCTTAGCCCACGCTCGACATTCAATGTTTATCATAACTCCACCTGCAAAACAAAAGAGGGTATCACGCGACAGCTGAAATATTTTAATGCGAGAAGTTATCGAAAAATTATGTACAATTATGGAACAAATCTTTGCAAGGTGATAATCATAATGAAAAATGGCATAATGGAATTTCCTCCCATATTTTGCAATGGAAAGGTGATTTGTGTAAGTAGTGTGGCAACTTATACAGTGATATTTATTGAGAAGTAGATAGGGATTTACATGTATTCAGTGGCGTACGTAGAAATGTATTCTGGGGGGGGGGATTAAACAAGTTCGTGGCACATACAGTCACCCAGTGCGTACTAGAAGGGGGAGGGGGGGGGTAAGAAATAGAAATTGGGTTGCAGGTTGCTGATGCTGGTAGTCATTTATCTATTTATTATTGTACAGGCGAAAAAGATTAGATTAGAACGGTATTTTATTTCTTACTGCTGACAGGCCCCTTTATTGCTTTTGCTTTAATTAGTCAACGAAAACTTTGAATAATAGGTATATTTATGGGCAAAAAAACCAATTTCGACAAAAAATTCAAAGGGCTGTAACTTTTGATCTAGTAGTCCGATCTTGGAACTGTTTGAAATTATGGATTCTACAGGCCACATTCTATAAGAAAATATTTTTTTCCGGTCGATCTGAGACAATTTTTTTTTCTGGGCAAAAAAAAGGCAGTTATTACCTTCCTTTTTTACCAAAAATCGACTGCACCAAAATTTCTCGGGAAAAAACTTTTCCTTATTAATTTGGGTGCGTAGAATCCAAAACGATTCGTACTTTTTCGATTAGACGTCTCAATCAAAAGCTATGGGCAAAAAAATTCCTGTTTCTAAAATTTAAAATTCTTATTTTCGTCATTTCGTGAAAGGCAGGACGCAGGTACTTCACCTCAGTAGCAGTACTAAGTACCTGATACTATTTGTTATTTTGGACATCAATGTAGCGAATTGCCGATCGATGCCGAATAGCCAAATCGTTGACTGCCAACACTGATCACTCACTGAATAGTGAATACTGAATACTACAGAATATTTAGATTTTAGTGACTTTAGACTTTAACCAAAACCAAAATTGCTCTCTATATATACCTATATATTATTGCCTTTATTTTAAAGTGGGCGGAGCGGATAGCGGAGTATTACCTAAATACCTAATAGCTATGATAACTCAATTCTTCTGGGGGGGGGGGGGATATATCCCCTTAATCCCCCCCGTAAATACGCCACTGCATGTATTGATTTTCCTTTTAAGACAAAATCTCTTCTTATAAGGGTGCCTTTCTACATACTCCACAGAAAATAAAACTCTTACGCCTTGATAATATCAACTTTCTCTTCAGTTATATACATCGCATACGAACGAAAATAAAAATACAGAAGCCAAAGCAACAATATTTACATTAATTAATACGACTTGACAAATCTTTGTTATTTTGGTTGCATAAAATCAGGCGCCCTTCTGAAGGATTTTGTCATTTAAAAGTAGCTATAGGGAAAAACAAGACACGTAAATCCCTATATCTACTTCTTAAGAAATATCACTGCAGTACTGTTTAATAATACGCAAGATGAGACAATTATTATGCCTCCATACTCCCATGGTTAAGTGAAAAATCAAACAATTAATCTAACTATATTTTAAAAATAAAACTATAAGATAATACCTGAATGTAATAGTATAACAACTTCTTACCTGGCGCGTTTTTTATATGAACAGCAATTATTGGACTCAAATACTCATTTTTCGTGTGATTGTAGGGATAATAGTAAGATGGAAATCCGCCACTAGGGGGATAGTAGCCAAACGTTGCGTTATGCAAGTGCTCCTTATCTGCATCATATTCCCCTTCACAGCTTAGCCATATTTGGTTTGACTATAAACAAAGAAAACGTAAAAAGGGACGGTTTTTGTTGTTTCAGTTAAACTTCTTTGATAAACAACTGCTGATGCAAATGGAAATTCACTGTCAAATAAATTTAACTGAGACAAGACATACCAGCGCTAATAAACAGTTAACAAATTTGATACACTTTCTAAAAATGTCATTTACTTCGGAAATAATTGTACTCATCGAATGCAGCAAACACACTTACGTTTAAAAAACGTTTTTAAAGCGCTTTTATAGGATCAATTCGGTATTGATGGTATCGTACACGTTTTTGTGTAGGCGAATTTACCTACGTTTAAAATAAGATTTTTATTCATATTTGTAAACGTATAATATTCCTATTGCAATATCCGCCAAGATTTATGCGAATTATAGGTATACGTGGGGTTTTAGTCTACAATAAACGCTTTTTATACGAAACTGTGTTGCTAGGGTAAAATTTTTTATAATTATTATTATTTTTACATTATGAGCGAAAAACAGATTTAGTGATTTTTCATTTAACTGTTGTAGAATCGTTAGTATTAGAAATACAGAAATATGCAAAGAACAAAAATTGTAGATTTTTTTCCGCTTGATAAGATACATTTATTAATATTTATTCTTCTTTTATAATGTTCGATTTATAACGCAAAAATTTTTTTAAATGGTAATCATAGTTGGCTGTGACATTTTTAAAAAGTGCATTTTTTTCTGTTTACGATGATATATGGTTCATTGTACTTACTTTGACAAATAAACATGATACAGAACTGTTTGTATTATTAAGAGTAGTAAAAACAGATTTTGCCATGGAAAACATTTTTGTTCTCTTAATTACTGTTTATTATAATATTTAACTTGCAGTTAGTTGTGCGGCGGGGCACCGTTGTGTTGAAACCAGCGTAAATTACGTCGTGTTTCCAAATCTAACCCATCCTACATATCTTGAAATTCATTTGGTAGAAAATGAAGATAACATTGGCCTGTCCAATTTTCGTCATAGATGAAAGGTTCCTATCTCACTAGATATTGTTTTCCATGGCCAACTCTGTTTACTTACCTCTCAATAATTGTCTCAGATCGACCGGAAAAAAACATTTTCTTATAGAATAAGGCCTGTAGATTCCATAATTTCAAACAGTTCCAAGATTGGGCTACTAAATCAAAAGTTACAGCCCTTTTTTTTTAATTTTCTTTCGAAATTGGTTTTTAGTCCATAACTTTTGATTGAGAAGTCTAATCGAAAAAGTACGAATGGTTTTGGATTCTACGCACCAAAATTAATAAGAAAATGTGTTTTCCCGAGAAATATGAAAATTACTGCAGAGCGTTTATTTATTAAAGTAGATTTAGCAAGTCTTATATCGTTATAAAGAGAAAAATTTGTCCTTTTTAAAAATGTCAAAGCCAACTATGACTACCATTAAAAAAAATTAAAGTTTGTACTCAAAAATTGTAAGATCTAAAGATAAATTAGTATGTTCATCCCGTTAAGCATCAAAATGTCTAAAACTTTTATTCGTGTCATTTTGTTGTATTTCTAATCATAACAATTCTACAACAGTTAAATGAAAAATCACTAAATTTGTTTTTCAATCATATCTAGTAAACTGTGGATTTTTAAAAAAAAACAAAAGCATATCTTGAATAAGCTCTTAAACCTACAACTCTTTCCTTATTTAACCGAATCCGTATGTCTTATGGTTTCCGAGATCCCAATATTTAAAATGAAAAATTATAATTATTATGATTAAAATGTTAGTTACTTACTTCATTTTTAGCTATAGCAGTTTTTATTCTTTGTACAAGAGTCGGTGGCATCTCTGCCGGTAATCCCTCGGTAGTATTGTAATAATTGGGCTCCCAATTCAGTACCTATAAAAAAACCTGTAACGTCTACGATTTTGCGCTGCTAAGGGTAGTTTACTCTATTTAATTTCAAGAACACACAAGGTGAAACAGAATCATATCCATAAAACGGCGGAGAACACGGACCAAAATCGGATACAGTTACGGGACAAGCCGAACCCTCCACAGGTGGTTGATCAAAATCGCAATCGGGTGAAAATTTAGAGGTCGGTCCTGTTCGGTTAATTTTATAACCTGAAAAAGCCGAGTAAGTACATACTTGCAGGTACGCGTATTCGTAAAGACCGACCGTTTAAAAAACCAGTTACCAAATCGGCCCAAAACATAGTTCTCGTTTGATCTTTCAAGTTGTACCATATCAGAGCACCTTCGTCTTCGGCTATCGGTCTGAACCCTAATCCCGGATTGTTTCCTATTATGCTATCGTTGTGGACGTATTTTGGCCGGTCGTAATTTAGAGTTGCGTATAAGCCGGTCATGCATATTGCGAAGAGAGCAGAGAGTCCGGTGTAAAAAATGACGTAGAACAGTAATATCTTGGCTGTAATAGAGAGAATTAAAATAGTGCCATGCATAGACGACGTAATTGCGGGCTTTATTAAATTTCCGGGAAATTTAATTATATTTCCGTTTTATGAATAAGTAGGAATGGATGCGGTTATATGGGTTAAATACCTAACTAGAATCTATTTTTACTCCGACAATTCAAGGTGCGCCATTTTATGTAACACAATAAATAAAGGTGAGACGTTATAGATGTAGGCGCTACGTCAACAATACGTTTTGTAATTAAGTTACAATTAGTTTTTGAACAGGCTCTTATTGATTTTTTTTAGCTAGATGACAGTGATTTAGATTGAAATGAGAATTAGTCTTGATGGTGTTTTTTCAAAGAATAATCTTTGTTATTCTATTCCCCACATTAACAGTAGTGGAGTAAAAATAATAATCCAATTTAAACAGGGGGATTACGTGTTAGGTTCTGAATTCCTTTCATATCAAAGGTAAGGAAATTCGGATACCTACATTTGACTTCGTTTCCTATACCTAAGGCGTGTTGCGATATTCGGTCATGTTTCCAAGCTAATGTTTATTGTGGAATAACACGCTATGAATAAAAACCGAAGCGAAGGTAACGCCCTTCAAGTATTGACCACAATTTGCGTTATTAAAAAGCAAATATGTACACAATTCGCAAAATCTCAAAAATGCTTGTGGTAAAGATGGAAGTAGATTTGTACCAAATACGATCAGTCTACGTCGAATAGTTCCTAGTTGATACAACACTGTAATGTAATTTAACAGTTCCTACAATTAATTATTGATTTTTAAATGAACGTTTAGATTCTACAACGGATTTTGAAGTTATACATTCACATAAGTATAATAGGCATTTTCGCAGCCATTTTTTGCGTGTTAAAATTTTAAATGGAGAGAGGTTGTAATAAATAATTAACATATTATTGTTATTAACCTAAATATAAATTTTACAAGCTATAATGATTTTCGATTTGGCAGCAGTTTTACTTTTATTCGAGCCTACATACAAAATTACAAAAAAAAATCTATGATAGAACCAAGTTTGGTTTCTTTGATTTTCTTCTTTTTTAAAGAAACAACTTCTCCATTTAATGAAGAAATAATGTCAAATTAAGATAGCACAGGAATATCTCGAGAAATAAGCAACGCCATTTAATACCATGCGATCAAAAATGAGTTGCTGTCGAGTCGCCTTTGGAATTTTTGTTTACATGGGAAATCGTACTTAACTTGAACTTTCAAAGGCGACTCAACAGCAACTCATTTTTGATCGCCCGTTACATTGTAGCCAGAGCCAGTAGAAACTCTATAAACTAAAAGAGTCAAATTTTTTACATATTACCATTGTTTATTTATAGACAAATATATTACGTACAGCGAACATAACAAATCAATAAAAGTAAGTACATACGCCACGCAAAAATCAGTAAGGACAAAGCAACTTTAGTACTATCTTACATTAAAACTCCCAAGTTGATCAAGCCCTTAACTAATTCAGTTATACCAACAGGGGTGGCTCTAGATAAAATCTGCACTCGTGCAAGATTTATTTTCGCCCCATTCCTCCCTTCAATCGCGTAAATTATAACTAGTGAATTTTAACACTTTAGAAAGGAAATAGCATAATAGAATTATCGATACAATTTTTTTTATACAGACGAGGATACAGGTCATTTTGAACCAGTGTTTTGAATCTAAATTTTGATTATAGTTTGTACTCATGATTCTGTAAAGAAACTTGCAAACTTTGAATTGATAACAATGTAAAATTATGAAATGTGTCTCCTGTGTTAGTAATACTGTGCGATCAAAAATGAGTTGCTGCACCTTTGGAACTTTTGTTTACATGGGAAATCGTATTTAACTTGAACTTCCAAAGGCGACTCGACAGCAACTCATTTTTGATCGCCCGTTAGTTCCGACTTCATTATTTCTTTTTCTTACTTTACGTCAATAATGCATAAATGGCCTGCTCATTTATATTGAAACCTCAAACCTGAGATATAGAAATGATTTTTTCACTCTATCTCATAATCAAATTTATCAAAGATATTAGATAATCTTTGAATTGATACTGTACATTCAGAGGAAAGTGAGCGAAATGGAATTAAGGTCCTTCAAACGTTGATTAGCTTCGATTAGCAAGGCAATGTTAATTCCTACTGAACACTTTGGTTTGAATATAAGTATCTCAGAATAGTAATTATGTCCCGTTTTAACTAGGAAGATAGGGATTTAAGTCTTAATTTGATGTAGGTACTTAATGAAATTCTACGGTATGTAATAAATTAATTTGTATTAAAATATGCTCCCTAATTATGCGTATATTTTAACAATTTTCAGAAAGAATAGACGACCATAAACAAGTGGACGGTTAATTACCGTAATTTTTCAATTATTGAATAACGCGCTAATTAAAACTTATCACTTTTTTATCTACTTAGTCGGAATTTCCGTCCAAATAAAGTACTTGTCTGGATTTACAGGGCTAGGCCAGGCCGATATTAACTACCTATTGCTTGTAACAAAGTTTTCAGTATTGGAAATGGAAAATTACGTTACGAACAAATTATGCCACGTTGCGCAAGATTGATATATAATTATCGTCACTTTAGAGGCGATAATCAAAAGGAGACTCGTAGTATAAATAACTCACCCCAACTTTGACCAGTTCTACCTAAAGCTTCTTTAGTACTTGGATTCCACATAAATATTTTAAAGGCCTCCCATTTCGTTCTATAAACGGGCTTTGCCATATAAGGAAATTCGTAAACTCCGTTTTCATTTTCTTTACCACGAACGGCCATACCGCAACGAATTAGTAGAGCAACAGATTATGAATGACAAACAAAAGTAACGTGATAGACTTGACCGACTCGACTACAGTGCAGACTGGCGGCGAGACGGAGACAGCGACGAAGTTCTGCTTGTGTTTGCTTTGCTCGTTAACTTTATAAATAATTCCGTCCTTGTCTTATATAACTACGGAGAGCACAGCACAATGTTCGGTTTTAGTGACGTACTAGTTTAATCACACCAATGACGTTCCCTCTCACGTGTTCATTTTTTTTTTTACACAAGGTGATAACACTATAAATAATTACAATATAAAAATTAAATGGCTTAAATTGCTTCTTAATTTATCCTATGCAATTAAATGGATGACAAAATGCGGAGAAAGAGACAAACTACAAATTACCCTTATTTTATACTCCACTACAGTGCACGTGCTGTGTTGTAATCTATAGGTAATTCAAGATTAATAGACCTCGATCCAATTGAGTTATTGAATCGTGTTTTGTGCAGAGGTTACTACAGTACATTTGTATCACAATAACATTTCAATCTAAAATGGTAAATTCCTATCAGATAGACAACACATCTAGAGAACCCTTTCACCTACTACAAAAAATCGTTCCTTTGACCTTTGATTATAAAATATAGTAGTCTATATTCAAAGCCTTTGACTATCATCTCTCTTCAATCACGAAAGGGTGAAATAATTACACTATAAAAGATTGGCCTGTCATCAAACTTAACTGAAAATAAATCACGAACTTCGCCGTGTACCTACTAGTCAGGGAGACATTTCTGAAAAAGGCTCTCTAAATCATGTCTAACGGCGTTTTGTGCTACAAACTGGCAACAGGCGGTTGTAGACTAATTTGCCCCCGCTGAAAACGTTGCGCCCTGTTGCCAGACCCGATTTTGACATTTAAGCCCTTAAATCCAAGATGGCGGCCAAAATTACCGTTTTTTCGGTTATTTCGAGCCCACAAGGCAGCCACTGAACGTTTTGGGTAGTTTAAGGGTAGAATAACATCTAGTACTACACACGACGACACCGTTTAGGCACACTTTCGTATTCATATTAAGGGCGTAAATGCCTAAATTCCGCTTAAAAACGTCAAAAATTCATCATTTTTTTTCTTTCTGACCGGTTGTCGGTGTCCAATATGCATTCATATGGTGTAGTTAACATTTAAGTATGTGGGGAGCAGCACCATATGCCTGGGGCCTAAATATCAAGATGGCGCCTGGAAAGTCCAAAAACAGTGAAAAAGTCGTTCTTTTTGCCGTAGTTTTACTACACTGGCCACTCTACGTTCGCTCTTCATTTTGGTGTTCTGGAACATTATTATGAGTAATTGTGACTGCCACCCCGGACGTAATACACCCCCAAGAGAGGGGGATGGAATTATCATCTCCACCCGAACGGATTCGCGAAACTATCAATCAGTGCACTCGCGTGTTGTTGTGGTGCGTCTTCCTCGGCGCCGCTCCTGAAGTTCGTCTGCGTCGCTTCGATGGCGTCTTCCACCTACGCCCGATATTTCATTTAATATTAAAAGTCAATTAATTTTACATCATGTAACTAAGATTACATTCAATGAAGATATTTTTTATTATACCTGAATCACAATCTCCGTTTTAAACACTCAAATGCGTGCGAAAAAGGGCCTTTAAAACACACGTGCTTTAAAGTTGCTAAGTAACGATACTTCAAGTATGACTTTTGAAACTGTCATCTGGATGAAATAAAAAATCCTCTTAGGTCGCTTTCTGTAAATGCAGAACATTTCTTTGGCTTTTGTACCTATCCTTTGGTTGAAACTTTCACAACCGCGCGAAATTTAGGGTATGCTTCCAAATCTGTTCCACTTTTTAATCGCAGCATTGCTTAAAGTTTTGAATGAATACACCAAAATATAGAAGATTTAAATACCTTTGACATTTCCTTCATATATGCCAGCATTATGGATGCATTTAAGACTGTATTCGTAAGTAACTTCCTATTCATCCATGGAAACAACTTTTCATATTCTTTATAATAGGCTTTACTGGAGTTGGATTTTACACCTACCAACGTTTGTTTAGATTTTACAACAATCGATTTAATGGGCGGTGTATTATCTTTTTCAACGGAAATCGTTTAATTCACAAAGACGATGATTTTTATAAGCAAACGTCAAGTGACATTTCCATGGCAATCGTGAAATTACGAACACCCAGCCCACTTAATTAGACATGTATTCGAGTATAACGTCAATATGACTTCATTGTATTCCCTATTTTTAAATTATACTGCAGGTATAATAAAAAATACTATAAGATACACGTGTATAATTAGTCTTTAAAGCACTTGCAACGTTAAAGGCACTCCGCTTTGCGTCGTGTCCTTAAACTCGTTGCGCGTGCTTTAAAGACTTGATTATACACTTGTATCTTAATATACTAATTTTAATATTATTGTTTAATTGTCATTGTTTTTCCCCATGCTGCCTTTCAAATTTTGCATTGTGTACTTCTAAAATATTTTAACAAGTTTTATTTTGTAATTTCCTTAAGCCAGAAGATGACCGTTGGTCGAAACTAGTCGCGGCTTTTACAATTTGTCTATTAAAATCGAGATTAAAATAGTGTAACGTTATTTATAAATTCGGGTTCGATTTATATCAATATTTATTAAACAAAACTACAACACTATAAAATCCGTACAATTTATATCGATTATTTATATCACACACTTCGAAATTTATATCAGCTTTTCGCGCTCTATGTTTCGTCCGTACTCGATCTCGTTCTATAGTAGACTGCCGCGATGTTCGGTCCGCAACCATTTATACACGCAAGCAATGTAAGTCCAGAACATTCTCGCATTTACCAGACACGCTGCAAACATCCCCACCATCGCGCGTCTAGAAAATTCCAGAGCGCCAAAGGCGACGTCATGTCTGGAGCATTTCCGTTACAATAGTATGGGGAAGGTTTTGTGTCTTTTTGAGATTTAACCTGGGACTTAACGACTCACTCTAACATTTACATTAACATTAAGCTCGTTCATACTAATTTAACATGATATCAAATTACATTCTAACGCATGAAGATGCTCTATTCAAACGTTAGGCCACATCTCTATTGATCGTAGAATGGTGCTCATGTCTTCTTTCGCGGTGATGACTTCCATTTGACTGTTTCAGTTTTCCCTAGGCCATGCAGCATGAATCATCCTCTGGTGGTGATTTTTACAGTACCTAGTCTCTGTGTAATATGCCAAAAACAATCCAGAGAGAAAACGTCAGTGCTTCAAGAGACAACGTTTAACTCTGTAACGTTCTTATTCTTGCATAATACCTTCTTCATAGTATTAGTGCTCAATATTCTAAACAGTTTCGACTGCCAAGTGTTACGTTTTAATTTAAAAAAATCAAAGAAAACTTGGGAAGAATATATTTGCCCTCAAATTACGCCGCCAAAGCAACTTCTGATGCCTCTTATAGTTAAAGTTTATAGGAGACGAGTCCCCACTTCCGCAGTTAAGCCCTTCAGTTGTGTAACATCCGGAATGATATTCGCAATTCCCATATTATGGCTTCAGGCTATCGAAATGGGGAATGTGTGGTCAGTGTAGTAAAAATACGGCAAAAAGAACGACTTTTTTACTGTTTTTTGGACTTTCCAGGCGCCATCTTGATATTTAGGCCCCAGGCATATGGCGCTGCTGGAGGTCCCCACATACTTAAATGTTAACTTTGCCATATGAATGCATATTGGACGCCGACAACCGGTCAGAAAAAAATGACGAATTTTTGCATTTTTGACGTTTTTAAATGGAGTTTTGGCATTTAGGCCCCTAATATGAATACGAAAGTGTGCCTAAACGCTGTCGACGTGTGTACTAGATGATATTCTACCCTTAAACTACCCAAAACGTTCAGTGGCGTGCCTTGTGGGCTCGAAATAACCGAATAACGGTAGGTAATTTAGCCCGCCATCTTGGATTTAAGGGCTTAAATGCCAAAATCTGGTCTTGCAACAGGGCGCATCGTTTTCAGCGGGGGCCACCGCCTGTTGCCAGTTTGTAGCACAAAACGCCGTTAGACATGCACTTTTCAGAAATGTCTCCCTGACTATACTATTCCCGGCATATTTTACAATAAAAACATTTTCTTCTGTAGTGTAATTATTATTCATATTGACCTGTTAATTAGAGATGACAGTTAAATGTAACAAATGTGGTAGGTAAATCATGGCCAACCAATTTTTTGAATTTATTAATTTAACTTTTACACATTTAAAAAGTGCTTAGGCACGCTTTTTTAATGACGTCAAATGCCGATTTTCATTCTATCCGAGGATGTTTTTTATTTTTTCTTTAGCTTCAAATGGGAAGCAGGAATTGTCGAAAATGTATTTTCCCATGTACCGCCGTCAACTTGTCACATTGTATACCGGCTGAGGTCGCATAAAAAGGCATCTGTATCTCCTTTGGATCGTCCGCCGGCAATTTCCTTCCCAGGGGCGGACTGGGTAACTGCGGGCCAGGTGGAATTGCATAGGTTACCGGCCATTAAAGTATTAGTGTAGTAATGAAGGGGGGGGGGGGGGGGGGGGTTTAGCTGTGAGGTGCACCACAAAAACGTTTTAAAGTACTCCTTTCTCGAAAATAAATTACCATACAGTTTTTTTTTAACTTGCAGCTGATAATTAAAAGAGTAAGTAACAAAATATACAATCCACACGAGGTGCGTCGCCTATCATTGCATTTCAGCACTTTCAAAATACTACGACAAAAAATAATAAATTCATTCTAAAACACTTCAATTAAAACAGAATTTTTTAACAACCTAACATCAACCCCAATTAGAGAAACGTGTTAATAATTTATTAATAGTGCAAGAAACTAAATACAGCACATACTTATAAATTTCCAACGGGCCATTATGATCTACAGGCCAGGTGGCAATCGCCACCCGCCCCCCCGGGCCAGTGCGCCCCTGGTTATACACTGCCTTTTTTTGAGCCCCGAAAAAAAATTGTCTCAGATCGACCCGGAAAAAAAATTTTCTTATAGAATGTGGCCTGTAGAATCCATAATTTCAAACAGTTCCAAGATTGGGCTACTAGTTCAAAAGTTACAGCCCTTTGAATTTTTTTTCAAATTGGTTTCTAGTCTATAACTTTTGATTAAGAAGTCTGATCGAAAAAGTACGAATTGATTTGGATAAGTATAAGGGTAATGATTACGTTGAGGTATAAATGAATGTGTGAATATTTTAATATGAAAATACTGTTTTTACGTGAATAAATGGTACATAGAAATACTTTGTTTTACAATGAATATTTCCTCACACATGAAAGTTGAAGGTGAAAGGTGACTTTACGCCAACTCTTCAGTTACCTATCTCGTATGAAATTGCACGAAGAGCATTTTCAGCTAAACATATTTCATCTAGCCCTGAAGGTCGCGATATATTTGCAAAAAACCGCAAAAAAACACGAAAATTGATGATTTTCGCCTCCTTTTATGAATTTCCTAGGCTAAGAGGTACACCTAGGCTAACTTCTGAGTATCTACCTTGTATGAAATTTCCCGAGAAATATTTTCAGCTAAAAAAATATTTCATATAGACCTCATAGATCGCGAGATATCAGCCAATATCCACCATTTTTTTCTTTTCCACCTCGAAATGTCCAGTTTGCCAATTTTACAGTCTCTATCGCCTAGACTAACTATTCCCGGCATATTTTACAATAAAGACATTTTCTTCTGTAGTGTAATTATTATTCATATTGACCTGTTAATTAGAGATGACAGTTAAATGTAACAAATGTGGTAGGTAAATCATGGCCAACCAATTTTTTGAATTTATTAATTTAACTTTTACACATTTAAAAAGTGCTTAGGCACGCTTTTTTAGTGACATCAAATTCCGATTTTAATTCTATCCGAGGATGTTTTTATTTTTCTTTAGCTTCAAATGGGGAGCAGGAATTGTCGAAAATGTATTTTCCGAGATGGTTTTCCCATGTACCGCCGTCTACTTGCCACATTGAGGTCGCATAAAAAGGCATCTGTAGGTATCTCCTCTGGATCGTCCGCCGGCAATTTCATTTCCTAAATGGCAGTAAGCCTGAGCTCCATCCATAAGCATAACATCTTGATATTATTTTCCGGCTTTTCCGCAAGCTGACTCAGTTTTGAATGCGTACTTTGATACTTCCAGCACTGTCTCTGCTGGCGTACTTATGGCCGTTTGCACCGACAAATTTAAGTATAGCTTCAAATCCATGGCAACGAATATTGAGACAATGGTTGCCATGGATTTTAAGCGATACTTAAGCAAAGCACCCCTTAAATTTGTCGGTGCAAACGGCCATTAAAGCTTTTAATTCCGCCTGGTTAAATATGTTACTGAGACATTTTCCTGTTCCCAAGATTACTCTCCATTAACATCTGGGTGCAAGAGAGTTAATAGCAAAAATCAATTTGTCTTCAAAAACCTAATTTTGTGCCGCGATTTTAAGGAAGACTTCGCTACAAAAAAATTATAATGTATCTGGCTGTCACATTTAAATTGCAAATAATGTCACCAACCACAGACGCAGCCAGGACAATTTTGACGCTACATTTGGCCGTTTACCACACTTTGATATAGAATCAATGGTTTATGAAAGCCTTCATAAACCGTTATGGTTAAATTACAAAAAAGAATAAAGATGCTTTAACCCTTATTTCCCTTTGTACACATAAATAGTCCGTTCGCTGTGACCTTTTGGGAAATACTAATCAATACATGGAAAATGCGCGTAAGTTACTCGCCTTAGGGCGAAACCCTTTTTACTTGTTTGCGTTTCAGCTTGTCACCACACACGTAATAATTGGGTTACCAATGTTATGTATACGGGGTGGTGACTTGCGTAACGCATCATAGGGATTTCAATGTAAAATTCATAACATGCGATTATTTGGCTCCCCAAATGATTTTAGAGCAAAAATTTTTACGCCAAACCACTATAAGTATTAGTTTTCAATTTTTTTCATATAAAGGCGGAAAACTGGAAAAATAAAACCCGCATCTTTTTCAATAATCTGCGATGCCATGGAATTTTCTAAAACAAAAAGATATCTAGTTATCAATTAGCAGCAGTTCGAAATGGATTTTATGATCGACTTGGTTACTGTATTGCAGTTAACGGTGACTTATTCAAACATTTATTGTAAATTGTTATATTAGGAAACCGTTTCTAGTAATTTGGTCTTTCTTTATGTTGAATTCGCTGTTCTAAATATAATACTTTGTGATAGAATTTCATTTGTTTTATAGCTGACATTCCATGGCATGACGGATATTGGCGTAGTTTTTTTTATTATAAAATTCCATGGCATCGCAGATTATTGAAAAAGATGGGGGTTTTATTTTTCCAATTTTCCGTCTTTATTATGCAAAAAATTGAAAACCAATAAATACGGTTGATTGGCGTAAAAAAATTTTTTCTACAAAAAACTTTTAATACATTTTTGCTGGAAAATAATAATCCAATAATCGCATGTTGTGAATTTTACATTGAAATCCCTATGATGCGTTACGCAAGTCACCTCTCTGTATAACCAATTGATGATTTTTAGCGTTAGTCCCCTCTTTTTCCCAAACATCGTATACCCACAGGCTCACAGTGACCTGATACCCCTTGTTCCTTATTATTTTAATAATAATAATAGTCTTTATTTCTCACACATATAATAATATGCCAGGAAGAGAACAAAAACAAAAATTTCCAAAGATGTGTAGAAATCACAGGTGCCAATTCAAATTGCTAGTCAGTTACTTTGGTCTTCCATTGGAACCGGGAAATCAATAAACGGAGTAGTGTTCAAATTTGTGAATGCCAAAAGTTGGTGATTTATTTGCCAAAGATCTGTCTAGGTGACTAGATTGTCCTGTAAAGAAAAAGACGGTTCAGCTTCCATGAGATTCTCTTCCTGTTAAATAGTACGAGTACAGTCGATGGATTTATAAAAAAACCCCTTGCATTCCACCACACACCTCACTCTCAAACCATCGTAAACGTCAGCTCTAAACCTTGCTCCGTCTAGATTGTGTTGTAAGTCATATACAATGAGACACTACAACTCTCCTTAAAATACATAGCTCTAGAGCCACAAGTCATTGCCTGTTCTTAGAACTTCCCATTTCCATACCTCAACTTTCGACTTAATAATCCATTACAATACAACATATTGGTCCGTTCCGTATGAATAAAATGAAGCATATGCTTATACTTGCAAAATTCAAAGTAAATACTCGTAAGTGCCCCTTTATACTGGTCTGTTTAGCAGCGCTGCATTGCGTCCTGTCCTCCTGCTCAGCAGCGCTGCTAAGTCGCCCAGTGTGAAGGAGCACTTCCGAGTATTTACTTTGAATTTTGCAAGTATAAGCATATGCTTCATTTTATTCATACGGGCCATGATATCACATACAATTCTTAAAGGTATACAAATAACAAATGAATACATTTTTCTATATCACCCTAAAATTATAGATATAATAATAAAACATGCGACATAACAAAATTGTACTTTATTACGTAACAATCTTATTCCAAAAATTACCATTTGGCTTTTATAAATTATTGAACAATATGATCTTTCTGTGCGTATCTCTTTTCTTAAAAAAAGGCACAAGTCTTTAGATATTTTTAAACCCTACATTAATAAGTCAATGTTAAAACTAATCAATTAATAGTTCGAAATGTACCGAACCTAATCGATCTTGACGATTATGTTTTATATTTTTAGCCCAGGCTTTGCATTCGATGTTAATTACGATCCCACCTAAAAAACGTAAACTTAAAAATGCATTAACAAAAAAAAGATACATACTAGTGGGCCTAAGAAATTGCACTGCGACAAGCGGACTTAAGTAACCTTCACCATTTTTATATGGGAAATAGTACCCTGGGAACCCTTGTATTTCCGGATGATAGGCTATGGGACCTAAATATTCGACATCGGCTGGATTCTCACCCTCGCAACTAATCCATACGGTGTTTCTCTAAAAGAAAATTAAAAGAATCCATTTTAAAACAAAATCTGGAAGCAAAAATGCTCAATACATACCATAATTTGTGATGTGTTGCCAATGTGTAATTTGAGTTGCAAAGGCATATCATTTGGTAGCTCTCTTACATCCTTATAATAGTCGGGTAACCATCCATAAATTTTGTTTAACTTCAAAAAGATGCAAGGCGAATTGCGATGATAATCAAAAAATTTTTCTCGTCCACATTTGGACCATACTTTAACATCTACATCGCAAACTTCACCTGGTTTCGGAAATTGTTCGTAACTACAACCAGTAGTCGACGCTGTACCTTTTTCAAGCTTGCCCGGTGTGTAATACTCTGTAAGATCGGATCAGTTTACCGAGATAAATAAAACCTTGCAAATACCTACTGTCTAAAAACTCATTGAGATTTTTAACCCATTTCAAATAATTTGTTTTATTAGACGCCTGAAACCATATGAGCGTACTTTCAATATTGTCTTGTGTGGGCATTGGACGAAAACCTAAACCGGGATTCGTACCGATGATTGAACGATCCAATTGCCATTTCGGAATTCGAGGGTCTAACGTTTGGTAAAACACCCACATGCATATTGCCACTAAGGCTGCTAGCATTCCATAGAATACAAGGTAGAAAATGATGATTTTGGCTGAAAAAATTACATTTAGTACAAGAATCATATGCAAAGTAATATCAATTTCTTGTGATTAGTTTATACAGGGTGGTGACTTGCGTAACGCATCATAGGGATTTTAATGTAAAATTCATTGGCTCCCCAAATTATTTTAGGGAAAAAATGTATTAAGGTTTTTTGTAGAAAAAATTTTTTTACGCCAATCAACCGTATTAGTTTTCAATTTTTTTCATATAAAGACGGAAAATTGGAAAAATAAAACTCGAATCGTTTTCAATAATCTGCGATGCCATGGAATTTTCTAAAACAAATGGTATCCAGTTATTAATTAGCAGCAGTTCGAAATGTATTTTATGATCGACTTTGTTACTGTCTTGCAGTTAATGGTGACTTATTCGCAAATTTATTGTAAATTGTTATATTAGGAAACCGTTTTTAGTAATTTGGTCTTTCTTTATCGTTGAATTGGTTCTTCTAAATATAATACTTTTTGATAGAATTTGATTTGTTTTATAGCAGACATTCCATGGCATGACGGATATTGGCGTAGTTTTTGTATTATAAAATTCCATGGCATCACAGATTATTGAAAAAGATGAGGGTTTTATTTTTTCAATTTTTCGTCTTTATTATGCAAAAAATTGTAAACTAATACGGTTGATTGACGTAAAAAATTTTTTCCTACTACATTTTTACTCTAAAATAATTTGGGGAGCCAATAATCGCATGTTATGAATTTTACATTGAAATCCCTATGATGCGTTACGCAAGTCACCATCCTGTATATGTTTGTTTATTCTCAAGGGCACCCATTCAACATATACAGGGTATAACATAATATAATAAGTATGTAGGAAAAAAATTGGGCCTCAACGTGTTGCGTTTGGGATTTGCCCTCTAAAAAGTGGTAAAACTTGCATTTTTTCTCGGCAACCACTCAATCACGAATCAGATATTAAGTTTTATGAATTCGAAAAAATGTCACTGTAATTTTTGGCCTGTCAATAAAAATGACAAAAATTCCACGACATTTGCTGTGTGAGGGGTAGTCCAAATTTGAGATTGACCATTGAGATCTCAAAACCCTAGGAGATTGAGAGTCGGTTAAATAAACGCAAAATTACATTGGGACCGAACCGTATGTGAAGAGATTTTTGAAAACAAAATTCTCATTGCAACTTTTTCTTGGCGTAACTAATTAAATTCTAGGGTTCGGTTTTTGAAGCCATCAACGATTTTATTTTTTTAAATACCGGGGTTGCATGGAATAATAAAACAAACGATGACGTAGGTTGGCGAACTAATATTATTTCCCCAACCTACGTCATCGTTTGTTTTATTATTTCATTATTCAGCGACTTCATCAATCACACGAGCTTGCATTTTTTTAAAAAATGATCTAAGTGCTGAGTGTCCAGACGGACGGAATTAACGCAGATATACTGTATTAAAAAAAAAAACAATATGCTAAAAAATGAATATATGAAGATATGGAAAACCTTTGAAAATGGAAATAAACTGATAAGTCCTTTAAGGGTTTTGGCACATGACGAATTGAACTAAAATATTTTCAAGATGGCGCCACTTCCGGAAATACCGGAAGTAGCCATCAACTTTGTTATTTTAAATAGGGACCCCCTATTTTTTTCTACATTTTCGGATTCTACGTTGAATTTGGAGTACAACAATACACCATAGTTGACTCTTTGCTCCAAGGGCTTCGCCGATATTCAAGTTTTTGTGTCAAAAATTGAATTTGCAGGGGTAATTTTAAAAATTTATTATTCGAAAACGGTGAGATATATTGGAAAACAGTTTTCAATGCTTTATTAAGGAAAGATGGAATTTTCTTATGGTATGCGTAACAGTCTAAAAAAGTGAGACTACGCCACTTTTTCAAAGCTCTCAACTTTTAAACATTTAAATACCCGTAATTCTATTTTTTCAAATGGCACCCCCCAGACCTTTAATTTGATACATAATGTGAAAAGCTGCTTCAAAGGGTTTCCGAGATATTCCATGTTTTAGTTACTTCTTGTGGAAAATTGATAAAAAAATTAAGTCGCTTGATGTTATTCTTTTGTTTTTATTATGCGAATGTTTAAACGTCAAATTTTCGCTGCTTGAACTTATAGTTCTCGTCAATAATGGCTCGTTTATGAAATGACCCTGTATAATATTACATTCATAAAAGACATTTTTTTCTCACTGCAAAGATGCTGCCACTTCATAGCCACCACTACGGTGGTAGTGTTAAATAACTAAGTGTGATACAAACTTCAGAGTTAAAATTTAATTATGCCAGTTAGTAGGCGAGAAACAATTGCAATCCCAAAAATCTCTTCAAATAAAGTCACACAAAAGAAAGTAAGTATCGAATTTCGTTTTTTCTGGTAATTTCCGAAAATATTCGGAATTCCAACAGTTTCTAGGTGGGGCTCCAAAATTCTCAACTTTCTCCCCATTTAAACTGACTTCGTATCTTTAAGGGATTGTGAACAGATTTTTAAAATTACCTTCTTTTCAAATAAAAGTTAAGCGGATTTGAATATTTGTTCTTGGAACTTATAAAATTAATATCGTTCATTAACTGTCATTAAGAAATTAATTATTGTGTACAATGTGGATAATCATTAATCAATGTTTCAAACTTTCAGAGATCTATTTACATTTTTATCCAGTTTCGTTGTTACGACACCCTGTATAACGTACCCAGCCCATTAAATTTTTAACGTACGAAATCTCACGCAGTAAATGCAGTGCAGAGATCAATAAAACGAGCTCATTAAAAATAATAAACGAGCATAAAAGAAACAACAGACAATCGGATCGAGTAGTATTAATGACTGGTAAATTCAGTTCGTAAATAAACAAAATGCTTACCCCAACCTTCAGCGTTACGTCCAGCAAATGTTTTCGTTTTAGGATCGTATAACTGCTGAAAGTAAAAACCGACGTGCCGTTGTTTATTGTATTGGCTATCGACAGTCATATTTATATTTTAGTACTAAAAACAAATGTGACACTACACTTTCGGAAGGTGGGCGAGGTGTAATTCTAACGTAGTGATATCACCGAGGACGGTCATTTCTTTGGTTGTTATTCTGTCTGTTGTATTGTTGTACCAAGTAAGGTAAAGAAACGCCGGCAACACCGCAAGCTTGAACGAAACACCTGCCTCCCCACTACTTACTGGACTACAGGTTAAATGAGAGGTCAATTAAGTGATTCACAGAAGAGGAACGTGTGATTTTATTGTAATTGTAAGCGCCATTGTACCAGTAGTATATATCATATATTTATGAATGTAAATATATCTAAGCCAGAGGTATCCCTCGTAGCAGGAAATAAAGATCTTAGATCTTAATTTGTGTAAAATAGGTACTTATAAAGGTGTGCCATTTGCTCATAAACAATACGCGGGAAATGCGTCCACCAGGTGTATTAAGTTCCCCAACCGTAATACCGAACTTGTCAAAAAATTGCAAATCGGTATGCATTGTATTTAGGCACTAGGTACCGTTTTGATTCCAAAAGTGAAATTTTGAATAGTTCTTTCCGTTTTTTCGTTATTACACTCTGTATCGCTTATCTTTATAATTACTTGGTTTGTTCCTATTCCGTGATTATAGAAAAGCTTATTGGTTCAAATTATTCTTCTTTGGCATATCAATACCCATTGGTGATGTCAAAACTTGCAACGCGAATATCTCGACATTGGAATGACGGTGGAGAGTACTCACTAGGGCTATTGAAATATCTGGACTAAGCATGTCTAATGAAAGGGTCAAAACTTCAAGCGCGAATATGTCGAGAACAGAATGAAAGGAAAGAATTTTTTTGCGTTCTACTAAAAAAGTTAATTTTACACTTTTGCCGTTTAAGATTAACGATCCTCATTACAATTTTGTATTTCTGTCTGTCTGTCTGTCCGTGTGCACAGTAACTGTGTTTAGAAACCTCCGATTCCTTTAAAAATGGCACACTTGTTCTTAAGAATATAAGAAAGGTCGCTATTGTTTTTCCAACTATACACGGTGTCCATTTTTCTAGTGCCACTATGGGAATCTCGCATATCTTAAGAGATAGACATTTGGTTAAATGAGGGCAAAGTTGCGAATTTTCGTGTTGAATAATAATCTGAAAAGAAATTTAAATATCTTCAATAGTTTTGAAAATATTGCAAAAAAGAAAGAAAATATCTGATTTTCGTTTTTAATTTTTTCATAGTAAACTAATCGTTCTAGACAATTCTAATTAACACATTATTCAGACACTTCTTAATGGAGATTTGGAATGTGGCATCCCATTTTCAATAACTTTAAAGATGACGGAGAAACAAGTGGCAACTTTAATTTTTCTAATGGGCGTCGTTTTGGATTTTGACATTTTGAGATTACGTCTTTTTTTCTCTTTACAACGATATATCACACATCGTATGGTTCACATTTTTCCTAAAATTACAATTTTCATTTTCTGCGAAGAGTGCTTTGGAAAAACAAAACGTTCTTTTGTTGTGAACAAAAGGTTGACTTATTTCAAGTAGTGTAAATTACGTTTGTGCTAGAATTATTGCGAAAATATTTATTGTTAAGTATTTTGCTCTAATTTGAATTATAATTTTCTTGCAAAACGAAGGTTCAATTATATTCAGATGAAAATCTCAACTCAACTAGTTCCCTGCCAACGCTCCAACCAGACAGATCAAACTGTCAAACTTTTGTTCACGATAAAAGAACGTTTTGTTTTTCCAAAGCACTCTTCCCGAAAAATTAAAAAGTGTCTGAATAATGTTTTTTTGCGATATTTTCAAAACTACTAAAGATATTTTTCATTTCTCTTCAGGTTATTATTCAGCACGAAAATTCGCAACTTTGCCCCCATTTAACCAACTCTCTATCTCTTCAGGTAAACGAGATCCCCATAGTGGCACTCGAAAAATGGACACCGTGTATGTATAGGTAGACTAACGCGGGTCAAAAAGTAACCCAAACCTAGCTCCAACAAAAGGGTTTCTTTTACAATATTCTTGTTACAAAGAACATATTATGAATATCCGGTTTTCTGTGTTAGAATATGCCAACTATATGCGGTATACAAAAAAAATTTCGATTTTTCTATGTAAGCATCTCGAATAAAAGTAAAATTAATGCCAATTCAGAAAATTTGTTTTACAAGTTATGCCGATGTGGTGGGACAGAATCAACCCCTTAAGGTGTACGTGGTGTAAAAATGATATGGATGCGTGAAGATCTCGAGAATCGTTTGGTATTCAGTTGTACCGGATTTTTGTGCTTATCAATTTTATACGCTAAGATGCTTCTTATAAAATCAAATTAAAATGACGTGTCAATAATTTATAAAGAATAGTAGGTTGTGCATGCGTAGTGCTAACTTTCTTATTTGTGGACGGATTTTTACCAAACTTTAACGGAAGTTGCATCTTACAAATGGCAAATGAAAATTTTGTAAATTCTTTCTTTTTTAACTTGTTTCTTTTGTGTAAAGTATGAGCCGACTGCGTTTATTTATCACTGAATTTTATGCAGTTTTTTTTGTAGTAAACTAAATAAAGAACTTTAAATGGTTCTAGTTCCTTTGAGTGCAATTTAAGATGTTACCTAAACATATTTTTTCAGAATTTGATTTTTTTTTCAAAATATACAGCAAGTTCAAGTTCCATTAAAAAAAAAGAATAGGTACCTACTTTGTTGAATATCTTGATCACCCGATGTGCGATTGTTTTTCTCATTCAACATATTTCCTATTTAACCAACTTCTTAGATACAATAATAACAAAGTTGTAGCAATAGATAGTGCCGACTTCGATTTGAATCCCTTTTTGGGTTTGAACATATTGCATATCTAAATCTAACCTTGAGTAAAAATTCCGTTTATATAGACTAAGACCAATTGAATGAGCAATTTCTTAATTTTAATGAAGTTAAGTAAGTAAAATGAAAATTAGCGACAATGTTAAATTACATATATGTATTAGGAAACTACAGTTATTTTATTTGGTATTTTATTACGAGCGCTCATCATGTGGTTATCGCTTTTATAAATGTAGGGACTCTAAGCAATTTTCAACGGTAAACTCACCTAACGTACATTATATACCTAGTACATATAAGATATGACCTATACTGAACGCAGACACTTTTGAATATGGAATATAGTGGTAGTTACTAACGTAACCCTTATAGTTTCCATCTTCAGCACAGATGGCGGGTCACATGCATCGTCAGTCACATGTCAAAATACTTTTTAGCCACTTGTTGGAATGCGACGGTTTCTTCTCATCTTCTCATAAGTTATAGTATACAATATAAATGTAGGTACCTACTACCTACAAGTTTTAAAAGTTCCATTTTAATTTATATTGTTCAGTTATCCAGCACAATAGACGTATTACATAGGGTCTTATATTATAGTCTCTTTATCTTTTTAGATATGTATTAAGTGTGCTACTGTCGAAATAGAGAAAACAATTAAAATATCATTACTTACACCAACTAGTAGCGTTCCTGCCGAAAAAGCTTTTTTCTTTGGGATCCCAAAAGAATCTCTTAATTTTTTCCTTACTAGTCAATTTCATATCTTCGGGTTTTACAAAATAAGTGTTTTGAGTCGATAGCAATTCATCTTGCTTATGAATGGCAACGGAAAATTTTCTTGTACTATTTGCGATCGGCATTCTTGAGAAAGGAATATAGAGAACCTTAACGGCAAAAGTTAACTCTACACTAATTCAGAACTGCAAACGAGAGATAGTAGGAGGGTCCGGATATTAACAATTTCGTATACATGATTACATCCTCCACAGAAGTTCTAAAAATTTTCAGATTGAAAGGAACGGTATTTGGTAGGTAGTTACTTTTGGCACGTGCTGGTAATTTATTAAATTACGATAAACAATAATGCGTTTTCTATTACAACATTCTCTATATGAAGATTATTCTTCTTTGTGCAATGAAAAATAGTAGAACTTCCTCATTCCAATTCCTTTAATTGTAAAATGAAATACAGTACCTACATTTTGCTAACTTCTTATCTCCAGTTCTAACCGATTTACCTACCTAGGTATATAATTGTGCTATTTTAACATAAAACTGTTTTCGCTAGGAAACTCAACTATTGGTTTTGAAGCAATTTTTTAGAGCAAACCACGCAACGGCGTTTTGATTGAATAGTTGTGGTAATTCTGCGTTTATTTTAAGGAACGTTTTGTAAGTGTAAAGTTAGGTACGTCTGGTACTTAGCAGACATTAGAAAGGAAGAAGTAAATTAGGTACACATCAATCATTGAATTAAAACCGTACACTACTGCATACGCCAATTTTCCTTATACATTATATATCCCAATAAGCAGCAGCAAGGTTACTTAAAATTAAAATTGTTGCATAATTGTCCCTATGAAACTATATATTTCAAAGACAATTATGTAATTGAACCAATTAGATCGTAATTGTTTAATCGCAACTGGTATACATTCAATGGGAACCTCGACTGGGTCCTAGTAACCATAATTCCAGAACTGCAATACCTATAGTACCTATAGACAATTCGGTTACAAATGAAGACGTTGAATCGCATACAATAGTGACGTACTAGGACCGAGGGCTTAACTGCTTGGCAAATGTGGTGTAAAGGTATTTGAGCGCCCGTATGTTTATCAGTGACTTTTTCTACATTTAGCAAATTATTCATTTTATCTATTTGCAACAGGTGTTATTGATTCTTTGAGCACATTTCCCAGAGAGGATGTGTAGGTACACCTTCCTTTTTTTTCCAAAAATCGACTACACCCAAATTTCTCGGGAAAACACTTTTTCTTATTAATGTTGGTGCGTAGAATCCAAAACGATTCGTACTTTTTTGATTAGACTTCTCAATCAAAAGTTATGAGCTAAAAACCAATTTCGAAAGAAATTAAAAAAAAAAGGGCTGTAACTTTTGATCTATATAGTAGCTCAATCTTGGAACTGTTTGAAATTATGGAATTTACAGGCCATATTCTATAAGAAAATGTTTTTTTCCGGTTGATCTGAGACAATTTTTTGTTGGAGCCTCAAAAAAAGGCAGTGATTAACCTTCCTTTTTTTCCAAAAATCGACTACACCCAAATTTCTCGGGAAAACACTTATTCTTATTAATTTTGGTGCGTAGAATCCAAAACGATTCATACTTTTTCGATTAGACTTCTCAATCAAATGTTATGAACTAAAAACCAATTTCGAAAAAAAATTCAAAAAAAGGGCTGTAACTTTTGATCTAGTAGCCCAATCTTGGAACTGTTTGAAATTATGGAATCTACAGGCCACGTTCTATAAGAAAATTTTGTTTCCAGGTCGATCTGAGACAATTTTTTTATCGGGCCTCAAAAAAAGGCAGTGTATAACCTTCCTTTTTTACCAAAAATCGACTACACCAAAATCTCTCGGGAAAACACTTTTTCTTGTTAATTTTGGTGCGTAGAATCCAAATCAATTTGTACTTTTTCGATCAGACTTCTAAATGAAAAAGTGGGTGCATATTGAACTCCACCAAAATGAGCGCAAACGAACAATAATTTCAATATTTATATCTATTTACAATTTTATACATTCATCCAAATTACAATAAAGGATTGAATTATACCACAGATTTAAAAAATCTGTGATTATATACGGCGGTACATAGGGAAATAACATGGGAAAATAGATTTTCGGCAATTCCTGCTACCCATTTGAACCTAACGAAAAAATAAAACACCCTCGGATAAGATAATTACAATCGGCATTAGATGTCACCAAAAAAGTGTGCCTAAGCCCTTTTTTAAAAGTATGAAAGTTAAATTAATAACTCCAAAAAGTTGGTAAAAAGATTGGTTGGCCATGATTTACCCACCGCATTTGTCACTCCATGGCCAACCAGTTTTTACTAATTTTTAGGCTTGCATGAGACCTCACAGTTGCGTATTTTTATGTCATCCGATGGATATTTTAATTATCATACCCGGAGGATATTTTTATTTTTCTTGTAGGATGAAATGGGGAGCAGGAATTGCCAAAAATCTATTTTCCCATGTTATTTCCCTCTCTTGTCGTCAACTTGTCACGCTGTATACCTATAAAGTAATTTTATACAAAATGTCTTCAATGCAGGGGTCATTTCTAAATGATGGACCGAATTTTAAAAATGCGTATTAAGGCTGGACCGACAGTACACCGGTTCCGTTGCCCGAAAACGCTTGATATCGTTCCACGATATCTGAATTCTGAGTGAAGATGAAGAAGGGGTCGAATATTCCTGTGAAAGGTGAATGCTTTAGCTAGACAATAACGCCGGGGTTTACTAAAATAATCTTTTTTTAAGGGTAACGACGAGGGCTGTTAGGGTGCCATATTTTGGAAAAGAAAAATGGAAATAAGTTTTCCTGGCGTTATTGCCTAGATATTAAGTTTACGAACTTATCTCAATTTTGGAAATTGTTCCAACTTCATTTATAGATAAGTTATATTGGAAAAACAACTTAAAACTTTTCCTCAAAAGCGCGAAAAGATAGCTTCCGTCGCCGCTTGGTTTATACAGGTAGAAAATGTGCATAATAATTGGTCTAAGTGTATGTTTCTGCCATCAATCACAAATTAATATTATAAATGGCCAAATTTGGCGATTGACAATAGGCAACTTTACATACTCCGTTGTGTATGTACTGTACAGCCTTAAAGTAGGTACAAATTCTGAAATTCAAAATGAATAATCTGCTCTATACCTCTATACCAATGAAAAGAGGAAGTTTCAATGTTTTTTTAACGTACATACGTATGCTGTTAGTTGGATGTGAGATGGCAATATCTACTGCGTAGCCATGTAGCATATAGTTTTAAAATGGGACATCCAGTTACAGTGCAGTGGGCACTAAATTTGGTACATTGAACCACCAACTAGAAAAAACATAAGCCGCTGGTTTAGTAATTTAAACAGCTGGCCAATATGCACCTGTATAAGAATATGGGTGAGGTCTACCGTGTGTGTTAGAGGATGACAGACAGTTTTGATCGTATAAGCATGCCAAAATGTTTAAGGTTACATTGAACATTTTAAAAAAACCTTTGAAATTGATGGGTAGATGCATATATGATTGGGCATGCCCAGAGCATATTCGTAGTTTTATTTAATGAAAGGTATACAAAGACTACATACAGATTTTTGTGAAGTGGTGCCTCAGAGAACACATCCCCTGTTCTGTGGTGGTCCTCTTCGCTATAAGCACGAACGCAACAGAATTAACAGTTCATGCACCAGATGATTACATTCTTTTTTTTTATGGGTGACAATCACTTTTATTTACATTCAAGCAGTAGTTATAAATTAGCAGATCCATTCATAGCATGACAATCTGCCAATGCAAACATTTGGAAACTGGTGCTCATGGACCAAACTACAGTAACCATGTCTATCGGGGCAAGGAAAAAATGACCTCTGGCATGTCATGTGAACAAGTGGTACCTAATCAACAAACAAATAATAGTCCAAGTTAATTATAACCGAACTTTAATCATAACTAGATAATTTCTAAACCCTACATCAACGAAATTATAAAGCATTACCATTGAATTTATATCGTCATTTGTATAATTATATAATTGTAAAATAAAAAAAATAATAAAAAAACCCACCATTCAGCATTAGTATTGTAATTATGCAATATTATGTTAAAAACAATAGTATTACAGACATTCAGAATTTTCAAAAGTAAGGCCCGATCCAAAAAATTAACTTATAGCTAGTATACAAACAAATTAAATATCACACACTCATTTCTTTACTTTTTCTTCTCCTCTTTCTTCATTTCTTTTTCATCCTTCTTTTCTTTATCCTTCTCCTTACCGTCTTTATCCTTCTTTTCTTCCTTTTTACCTTCTTCTGCATCTCTGTTTGTGAGTTTGTTATTTATTAAATTATGCAATGCGACAATGGAACGGACCATGGCAGCTAAGTATACAACTAACATTTGATCATTGTTTTTAACATAGAAAGATTTATGGAAACTGTCATGATTGATATCTGGTAATAAATTAAATATATCTTGTAGCTGATAAATAATTTGATGGTTAATAGGCAACTTTAACTCGCTAACTTGTACTAAATAATCACGTATATCTTTCAACTGAGAATTTAAACCTTTAAGCCCTAACAATTGATTTGTAATTCTTTGCGAAAGCGTACCGACTGTAGTATCTTTAATGTCACGCAACAAATGTTCAACACCAACTTCTTCAGCTTCTTCCGCACCAATTTCGCTAGGTACATGTTCAAATGTTTTGGATGTTGGAGAACCATCGTCATGTACCTCTTCAACTGCTTGATAAGCCTCTGTCGGTAGTCCCAAATCTTTTGGCTTAGCGTCAATTATAACCAGTACCGAATTAGGACAATATCGTCTTATTAACTCGTTTATTGAGATATCATTCTGATTCAATTTGGGGCCCGTATGATACCACCCAACAACTTTTTCTCTCGCATTTACTTTCTTAAACATGCCGTACATATTCTCAAGGTAGTCGTGATCGAGAAACCAAACCGATTTATCCTTATCGTCTTCGTCAAACGGCACTGCACATAATAAAAAAATGACTATCACTCAACGATGCTGTTAAATCTTACCGGCAAAACTGTTGGAAACATCTAAAACTCCTTTAGCCCTCCAGGAACCCAAGAGTACACCCACAACCCTTTTTTGGTTACCGATCTTTCCCATTCTATTAAAATGGTCTACGACACTTAACAACACTAAAGGGTGCACGACCACTTTATTTGTCGTTGTTTCTTGACTAGGCATCGTTCAAATAAACTTATTACCGCAAGGAGACCAAATAAATGAAGTTTCTGTTTTATGAAAATGCTTAATAACCCAATGGCGGTTGTCAAATATTCATCCAAAGCCATGTTGCAAGATTTCCCCGCCTACATTTTTGCACAGGAGCTGGGTTTGCAAACTTTAACGCTTAATAATATTCTTATTTATAAAAAAAGGTGTGGAATTTGGATTTAAATCGCCTCGTGTATGCTTAATTTTAATCTAAATTTAAAGCCATTTTGGATACCACACTTATTTCTTTAGAATGAAAAACTTAACTCAATGGGGTTCACTGTGATGCTTTGGTTATACGCATACTGAATTTCGAAAGCTGAAAACGACCTTATAGTACAATGAACTACTTATTAGCCCTATGCTTTCAATACAAAATGAGTGGTCACGGATAGAGGGCACTGTAGTCGTGGATATTCGTAATCGTAATGTACATTAAACTCGCAGACTTTTGAGGTTGTTATACCAAGAGCCACGTTTCGCTGCAGCAGTATAAAATCCGAAAAGGACAGTATAAGCCCCACGTTCACAAATTGTAACCCAAGACATTTCAAATACCTACGAATCGCTCATAAACCGGACGGCTACTACGGTGATAAAACTGGAACGCTCCTACTGGCATAAGTATACAAATTTGCTCTCCTACCTAACTGCTGTTACTGTTTATTTATACGGGGTGCTTCATCTGGGGGCGAGTGAGATACTAATGTTTCGCCACGACATGTTCCTTGGTTTTGTTGTAATGTGAAATGTAACGTTATGCTCCTACTATTTATTTCAACCGGGTGATTATTTTCGGTCGTAAATTAGCTAGGGAGCGTGCACTACCATTTATTAAAATTCATCTCCGAAATGTGTTGCTGCCTGTAATGAACATGTCACGTAATTTGGGTCTAAACATGGATGCAGATCTTAAATTTACACAGCATGTCAGTGCCTGTGTAAGCAAAGCGTTTGGGACTCTAAGAAAACTGTACCCCAATAGAAATATTCTTACTCCTAAAATTAAATTGCATTTGTCTAATTCTGTGATTTTGTCCCATTTTAATTTTTGTGATGTAGTCTATGGGGCATGTATTGAACAAGTCACGGCGACGAGGATCCAAAGAGTGCAAAATGCATGCTTAAGATTTGTTTACGGTATCGGACGTAGGGATCACATCTCTCACAAAATTGTGGAAGCAGGGTGGCTTAATATGCATCAAAGGAGAATATTGCATTCATCTGTGTTCTATCATAAATTATTTTATTTCCAAACTCCTGGATACTTGCTTGACCGTTTAAGTTACCGCACGGATGTGCATAATTTGTTTTTACGACATAGGGGTCTGTTAGATATTCCCACCCACAGTACCCGTTATTTTGAAAAATCGTTTTCGTATAACGTGGTAAAAATATATAATGCTATTCCGCGGTCTCTCAAAATGCTCAGTCCATCATCATTCAAATCTAAAATGTGCCAGTTGCTAATATCAAATACATTGCCGTTATAGGTTTTGTAGCATTTCTTCTTATTTATATATATATATTTTTTTTTTTTTCTTTCTTTCTTAATGCGTGGTGAGTGTTCGTTCATTGGTGTTACTGATATATATATATATATGTGTTGCTATTATATTATGCTTGACAGGGCTGCATGGAAGATCAGGGTATTGCTACACTGAATGCAGTCCTTTCCCACATTATTCTTATTTTCTTTATTTATTTTATTTTTGTTTTCCTATTAGTTGTTTTTGTGGGAATAAACATTATTATTATTATTATGATTATTAATATTTGGCAGGGTGACTTGTTTCGAATATGTACTGTCGTATATTTGATATTGATATTTAATATCTCGATTTGACGTAGCAGAGGCTGGCTAAAGTTCAGAACTGACATACGCAGAGATATATATTTTATGTACCGTTCTTTTGTGTCTTTGAAAAGAGCCATCTTGTCGATATTGCTAATGAATTCGTTTAGTTGTATCCATTGGGATATCCTTCCTGTGTGAAATGCTCTTCTGAGAGGCCAACTCCTAGCGATTTCAAACAATGTTGGCATGTTATGACCAGAGCAACAGACTACTCGGTGTGGGATTTGGACTAGCCATCCAATATCCAAACCTATTATATGAATTTATTATGTAATGTTTTTAATGACTGTTTTTTTGTTATGTGTGTGAAATATTGATTCTTTAGGAATTCCAGCGGAGCCTGTGATTCAACATTATATTAATGTACTTGACAACCATCCTAATATGCATTCATGCCATTACAGATAACCAATTTTGTTATAAAGTTCAATATTAATTTGTTGGCTGGGTTTTTTCTTGATCAGTTCTTTTTTTCCCAGCCTATTGTTATATTTGTACTCGGTGAACTACCATTTTCTAAATTTAATCATACCAATGTAAATTATTTGGATTAAACGGTTTTTAAAGCATGTACTTGTTTTATTTGTATTCCTTACTTGGTCCTCACTCCGACAAGCAACACATATCTTGTCGCGACTTTTAAAAACACAACGTAGTAAGTGGTCCTATTTTGTTATTCAGGTGAGGTAACTAAAAAGCGACGGTTGCGCCTTTTAAGCCCCTGGTGAAATCTCGATGAACTAAAAAGCGACGGTGGCGCCATTTAAGACCCTGGTGAAATCTCGATGAACTAAAAAGCGACGGTGGCGCCATTTAAGCTCCTAGTGAAATCTCGATGAACTAAAAAGCGACGGTGGCGCCATTTAACACCCTGGTGAAATCTCGATGAACTAAAAAGCGACGGTGGCGCCATTTAAGCCCCTGGTGAAATCTCGATGAACTAAAAAGCGACGGTGGCGCCATTTAAGCTCCTGGTGGAATCTCGACGAACTAAAAAGCGACGGTGGCGCCATTTAAGCTCCTGGTGGAATCTCGATGAACTAAAAAGCGACGCTGGCGCCATTTAAGACCCTGGTGAAATCTCGATGAACTAAAAAGCGACGGTGGCGCCATTTAAGCTCGTGGTGGAATCTCGATGAACTAAACAGCGACACTGGCGCCATTTAAGCTCCTGGTGGATTCTCGATGAACTAAAAAGCGACGGTGGCGCCATTTAAGCTCCTGGGGAATCTCGATGAACTAAAAAGCGACGGTGGCGCCATTTAAGCTCCTGGTGGAATCTCGATGAACTAAAAAGCGACGGTGGCGCCATTTAAGTCCCTGGTGAAATCTCGATGAACTAAAAAGCGACGGTGGCGCCATTTAAGCCTGGGGAATCTCGACGAACTAAAAATCGACGGTGGCGCCATTTAAGCCCCTGGTGAAATCTCGATGAACTAAAAGCGACGGTGGCGCCATTTAAGCTCCTGGTGGAACCTCGACGAACTAAAAAGCGACGGTGGCGCCATTTAAGACCCTGGTGAAATCTCGAGGAACTAAAAAGCGACGGTGGCGCCATTTAAGCTCCTGGTGGAATCTCGATGAACTAAAAGGCACGGTGGCGCCATTTAAGCTCCTGGTGGAAAATCGAGGAACTAAAAAGCGACGGTGGCGCCATTTAAGCTCCTTGTGGAAAATCGACGAACTAAAAAGCGACGGTGGCGCCATTTAGGCTCCTGGTGGAATCTCGACGAACTAAAAAGCGACGGTGGCGCCATTTAAGCTCCTGGTGGAAAATCAACGAACTAAAAAGCGACGGTGGCGCCATTTAAGCTCCTGGTAGAAAATCGACGAACTAAAAAGCGACGGTGGCGCCATTTAAGCTCCTGGTGGAAAATCGAGGAACTAAAAAGCGACGGTGGCGCCATTTAAGCCCCTGGTGGAATCTCGACGAACTAAAAAGCAACGGTGGCGCCATTTAAGCTCCTGGTGGAATCTCGACGAACTAAAAAGCGACGGTGGCGCCATTTAAGCTCCTGGTGGAAAATCGACGAACTAAAAAGCGACGGTGGCGCCATTTAAGCCCCTGGTGGAATCTCGACGAACTAAAAAGCGACGGTGGCGCCATTTAAGCTCCTGGTGGAATCTCGACGAACTAAAAAGCGACGGTGGCGCCATTTAAGCTCCTGGTGGAAAATCGAGTAACTAAAAAGCGACGGTGGCGCCATTTAAGCTCCTGGTGGAATCTCGACGAACTAAAAAGCGACGGTGGCGCCATTTAAGCTCCTGGTGGAATCTCGACGAACTAAAAAGCGACGGTGGCGCCATTTAAGCTCCTGGTGGAATCTCGACGAACTAAAAAGCGACGGTGGCGCCATTTAAGCTCCTGGTGGAAAATCGACGAACTAAAAAGCGACGGTGGCGCCATTTAAGCTCCTGGTGGAAAATCGACGAACTAAAAAGCGACGGTGGCGCCATTTAAGCTCCTGGTGGAATCTCGATGAACTAAAAAGCGACGGTGGCGCCATTTAAGCTCCTGGTGGAATCTCGATAAACTAAAAAGCGACGGTGGCGCCATTTAAGCTCCTGGTGGAAAATCGACGAACTAAAAAGCGACGGTGGCGCCATTTAAGCTCCTGGTGGAATCTCGACGAACTAAAAAGCGACGGTGGCGCCATTTAAGCTCCTGGTGGAAACTCGACGAACTAAAAAGCGACGGTGGCGCCATTTAAGCTCCTGGTGAAAACTCGACGAACTAAAAAGCGACGGTGGCGCCATTTAAGCTCCTGGTGGAAACTCGACGAACTAAAAAGCGACGGTGGCGCCATTGAAGCCCCTGGTGGAAACTCGACGAACTAAAAAGCGACGGTGGCGCCATTTAAGCTCCTGGTGAAAACTCGACGAACTAAAAAGCGACGGTGGCGCCATTTAAGCTCCTGGTGGAATCTCGACGAACTAAAAAGCGACGGTGGCGCCATTTAAGCTCCTGGTGGAAACTCGACGAACTAAAAAGCGACGGTGGCGCCATTTAAGCTCCTGGTGGAAAATCGACGAACTAAAAAGCGACGGTGGCGCCATTTAAGCTCCTGGTGGAAAATCGACGAACTAAAAAGCGACGGTGGCGCCATTTAAGCTCCTGGTGGAATCTCGACGAACTAAAAAGCGACGGTGGCGCCATTTAAGCCCCTGGTGGAAACTCGGCGAACTAAAAAGCGACGGTGGCGCCATTTAAGCTCCTGGTGAAAACTCGACGAACTAAAAAGCGACGGTGGCGCCATTTAAGCTCCTGGTGGAAACTCGACGAACTAAAAAGCGACGGTGGCGCCATTTAAGCTCCTGGTGGAAACTCGACGAACTAAAAAGCGACGGTGGCGCCATTTAAGCCCCTGGTGGAAACTCGACGAACTAAAAAGCGACGGTGGCGCCATTTAAGCCCCTGGTGGAAACTCGACGAACTAAAAAGCGACGGTGGCGCCATTTAAGCTCCTGGTGAAAACTCGACGAACTAAAAAGCGACGGTGGCGCCATTTAAGCTCCTGGTGGAAACTCGACGAACTAAAAAGCGACGGTGGCGCCATTGAAGCCCCTGGTGGAAACTCGACGAACTAAAAAGCGACGGTGGCGCCATTTAAGCTCCTGGTGAAAACTCGACGAACTAAAAAGCGACGGTGGCGCCATTTAAGCTCCTGTTGGAATCTCGACGAACTAAAAAGCGACGGTGGCGCCATTTAAGCCCCTGGTGGAAACTCGGCGAACTAAAAAGCGACGGTGGCGCCATTTAAGCTCCTGGTGAAAACTCGACGAACTAAAAAGCGACGGTGGCGCCATTTAAGCCCCTGGTGGAAACTCGACGAACTAAAAAGCGACGGGGGCGCCATTTAAG